ATACAGTCTTTTTATGGGGATGTTGATCGCACGACCCACTTGCTACTGTCACCGGGGCCCCCCAAGGTTAAGTGATATAGAAACCTGCTGTTTTTTCTATCGCGATCGAGTTGACGCGTGAATATGAACGTGAATTCGTGCATGGAATCAAATATAATAAAATACCATTTTTGAAACAATGAGGAAACAAAAGGAATCGACAAAACAAAATGGCATATAAAACACGTGATCTGCCTAAGCCAAAACCGGCATGAACTAAAAAAGTAAAAAAAAGGACATTTGTTATTAACTGGGGTCGATAATTGGGTTAGTGGTAATCCATGACAGCAAATTTAGCGCAAAAGACGAGGATAAGTCAAGGGACGCGTTTGCGTCCCTATTATTTTCGGCGTCTTTGGAGTCGAATTTTCTGTTTTGTTACTAAACTTATGTAGTCCAATTAAAATAATCAGTAAAGTGGTCATACTTTGCAAACAAAATGCCATGAATACATGAGTTGGCTAAGCGTAATCGGGCTAGTTGGTAATCCATCATAGCAGATTCAGCGTAAAAAACGGACAAGGCGCCGTGTCTATGTCCCTTTTTGTTTTCGTATTTTGCGCTGAATTTTTAGTTTAGTTTTTAAACTCATGTAGTCTTAGTCGAAGTTTTCTTTCTCCGCGACCTCATGTTCACTGCAAAAAACATTTTGATACAAAAAAAAAAAAGCCGTGGTTTATCTTTGTACCGGGCAAAAAGGGTACAACTGTAAAGTCGCGAAACGACATTTTAGATGGTCAGTACTACATGTGCTCGCAAAATTATGTACAAGACCAGAAAAATGCATCACCATAAAGAAATTAAAGGGCAACTGAAAAGAAAGTTTTTTTAAACAGTTTAATTGGGCACGCGTGTCAAAAAATAATTTTACGTGACAAAAAAAAAATGTAGAGAAATATTGACGTTGCAAGATTCTAAATTCTGCGCGCAAAGTCCATAACGTTACGGAATAGTCATACACTCTTTCCGCCTCAACGAGATGGCCATACACTCTCTCCACCTCAACGTGATGGCCAAGCCGATCCACCTCTCCTCCACGGACCGGGAATGCCGAGAAAACAAGTGGAAAGGAGGTGACTACCCACTAAATCGCGTCTCCCGCCGTCAATATTGCTCCAAATCTTTTTTTCGCACAATATTAATTTATTTTTTGACACGCGTGTCCCACCCATACAGCTCTTTTAAAGCGTAAATAAAAAACAAATAAAAACGTTTACAGTATTTTGTAATGCCGAATTAGAGCGCAGCTCTTGTGGAGGAGGCAGGGTATGCCCCTCCTCCCCCTCCCATTTAGCGGTAAATTTTGTGCTAAATTTAGCGGGGAAATATTTTCCGCTAAATTTAGCGGCAAAATTTTTCCACTAAATTAAGCGGGAAATTTTTTCCTTTAACTTTAAGGAAAAACGTCCCATAGCGCAACGCGTGCGGTTACGTTGACACCGCTCAAGCCGGAAATGGGCGCCCTAAGAGCTGCGCTCTAAACAAAAGACGCAAATATCTACTGGGACACCATGTCAACCCTTTTTACACACGTTCTCAAACCAAATCGAGTTCAGAAACCAAATGTTCCCCAGGCTCCAAATGGTTCCTCAAACACCCAGATACTATCTCAATCGCCCCAGCGCATGTGAGACATTACGAGTCAAACATACCCACCTGTCTCCCTAATTTGTAAATTATTGCTAACATGTTCATTAACTGTTTTACATGTGCCGAAAGCGAAATAGGACACACCCTAAAAGCACATAATGTTGCCACATTACTGGAATGACTAATGTTGCACATTATGTCACATAAAGTAATATGTAACTGCAATGTTACAAATCTAACATTATGGTAACATCCTCTGAAAACTTAGCATAATATTAGCAAACTTTCATGCAACGTTTTGCAGCCTTTATTGATGTTACTGAGGTGTAATAATGAAATATATATATCACATGTAGAGTATATGTTTCAATGGAAGCGTTTCAAGTCTATGATAACACTTATAAAACGTAATAATTCAAACGTGCATTATAGCACCAATGTGAAAATTACTCATGTGCCATTAGAAACATTTCCGAGAAGCTGAAATTCCGGGAAATGGATAGCTCTTAATGCGCGTGCATTAAGGACTACACTTCAAGGAGATCTTAAGCAATCTCGGACTTCTAAATTATGGCAGTTGTACTAAAACTTTACTGATTTAGTGAACTTCCTGGAGATTTGGTATGCAAGAGATCAGTTCAATCTAATAGAAAATAAAATAGGAATGTGAATGAAATCACTGGAGAAAAACAGGTTTGCAAACTGGGTGTTCACCGTGTATGTAGAGGGGCAGTTTTAAATGGAGTAAAATTTTTCTGGACAATGTTTAAAGATTGTTCAGTTTATTCTGCAAGCAGAATGTTTCTGTTCCGAGCTCACGCTCTCGGCTGTTAGAATGTGTATGTCCTGTGTATGCCAAGTGCAGAGCAACCTAGAATGAAGTAAATGCCCTACTTCAGGCTCTCGCTATATGATCAATGTTTAGCCAATCAACACCTTGAACCTTGAACCACTGCTCAAAATAAACAGCTGCTCATTCATACAGCTTCTCATTCACGCACATTAATTTCGGCATGAAGATCTAACTAATTTTTGTTTAATTTCTACATTCAGAACAGAACATTTATAATGGAGATTTTTAGTGATATGCGACATTAGAGCTTTACAGCTTTTCTCCAAAAAAGGTTGCAACGTTGTGCCCTCATGTATGCCGACGTTGAATACATAACATCGCACAAACATTTGTTGTGGTGTTATTGCAACACTTCCAGGTAATGTTACAGCAATATGAAAATTTTTGGACATTGCCCAAATATTCACATCAGCATATTACATACTTGACACATTGTGGCAACATCCGGAGCTTCTTTGGCAGGGGTCCCTGGCTTTCAAGGTAAGTAGCACATCAAGACTAAAAGGATTACGAACACCTACTCCAAACAGATTAGCACTTAGTGATACAGAAATCCCATCACTTGTGAAAATCCCTGCCCTTCATGAAGCTGACCATAATGTTGAAGAACTTCTTGTTAGATATAAAGGACTTGGGTGATGAAGCAGCAAAAATTATGGGTTCTAATTGGCACGATTAGTAGGCAATAAATTAAAACTGTAGGAAGCAATGGGATTATTGAGTGCTGCTTTATCCCTCCTTCACCTTCACAGTGGGAATCCAGACATCAAAATTCGAGGTAGTTTTCTTTTTTAAAATTGCCTCAAGCAGACAACTCAAGACATTTATCTGTCATTATATATATTCAAACAAAAATGATATCATAGATATCAAAAGCACTCACCTGGAACCATTTCTAAGCAAAGTGCACCAGCCAACACAGATGCTGTCCAATTTCTGGAACACTAGGATAGCGCCTGCATTCTCAAGCTCTTACGCCTTGGCCTCATTCCTTATCTGTAATGCTGCTCCTGCCCCATTCGGATGAAGTAGTAAACCTCTTTAAACATAGAGGACATGAAAAAGATAAAGATTGAAAGTCGGACAACAAAACGTTACGCGTGCGAAGCTAGTCGTAACCCAGCAGTTTATTGCGGCAGTCAGATGTTTAGTGGAGGCGGAAAATATGAAACTAGACCCGTGCCGAGCTAGTATTTCTTTGTTGGCCTTTCCAGTGTTTTATCAGCACAAATCTAGAACAAAAAGTAACCGAGATAATGACGTCTGCCACAGCTGAGCAGACAATATCTCAGAATTGCTCGCGGCATCTAGGCTTTATGGACGTGTTTACCTTTGCATCCCACCGGTATGAAGATGACACTTCCTTGAAGCAGTCATGGCCAGTTTACTTTGCTTTTTCTTTTTTAGTTCTTCAACAACACAGTATAAAGTGGCATCCCGCACAGCCATATGCAAGGAACTGTTGAAGACCGGCCATGGCTCTGGGCTTGGGTGACTCTTTTCCACTTAACCGGCTTCTCCTTTTTAAGTTGTGTAATAATACAGTATAAAGCGGCATCCCGCACTGCCATATTCAAGCAACAGTTGAAGACCAGTCATGGCTCTGCTCTTGGGCGACCCTTTTCCACTTAAAGGCAGCACAAAGTGGTGGGCATTTGAATTAACCTTGGAGGAAAGATGCACAAAACATGAGTTGGCTGCTCTTCGAGTAACCAAAGTGCAATGGACGAATTGCTTCACTTGTTTTTCCTTTTACCAATTTTTTTATATAAATGGGGCTGTGAGAACTTAGCATCCAAGCATTGTGAGCAAGTTTGATGATGCACAAGTATGGAGTGACCTAAGCATACCCAGTTTTTCTTGCGAGGGGCACAGTTCAAAACTTGACATAATCTACCACTTTCAGAATTCATGCTTCAAGGTCTTTTGCCATGAAAACCATTTCGCATCTTACAAACACATAAGTGAACCACGACAGAATTTGAAGCGAGAGGTTCGTGCTAGTGCTTGCGGTGTGTGCGCACATTCCCTACCAAAACCTTCCTAACCGACTATTTCTGAAAACTGAATTCTGTTCACCAATTTTTTCTTACAAGCTGCATGGTGCACGCAGAAGGCAAGCCTTCCCAGCATACATTTTGCACTATTAAAGACCAATAATGTTTTCGGTGTACAGAAACATATGCGGAGAGTAAGTCACCTGCTTCTTGCGTAAGGGCTGCAGTGGCGTCAGAACTACGCTGAGCTGATTTGCTTTGAATGAAAGGATAGTGGGAAGACCCCAATGCTAGATGCCTCGAGGTCTACCCACTATTCTTTTTTCAAACAGCCAATAAGAGCTCGGCATTGTGACATCATCGCAACCCTTGTAAAAGGCAGCCTGACCATTGTGTGGAAACATTTGAAAACAAAATCTAGCCTTTTTTCAGATGAAGTCAAGACAAGCCCAAGTTGCAAATTAATAACCCTCCTTGCTTTCCTCCCATGCCATTTACTTCTTTTAACTACCAACAGAGCATAAGCATCAAAAATACTTTATTGCAACTTGTATTATCACAAGCATCCATCAGTATTTGAGCCCATATCTAACCATGTCTGCACGGGATGTCTTTCCTAGATCGAAAACATCTCTTGAAATTATCATTCGGCATTTAACGTTATGGGCCACAATGAACAGGACATTCGTGTACTATGACAACTAAAAACTAATTATGAAACAGTTACTAAATTAATATTTTTAAAGAATTGTTTAGCTGGTATGTTCCAGTCAGATATTTGCAGTTTGACACCAAAAGTCTATATACTTAAACTAAGATGTAAAAGTGTGCAAAGAGATTCTATGCACAAATCAATGCAATATATAGCCAGACTACCTCGCCTAGTCGACCATTTTGGCAGTTGTTGTGGCCACTTTCAATGCTGATGCTCCTAACAATGACACCTGACCAAGTTTCCCTCAGTGCAAATAACAAAGAGGAGACTGAAGTGCTGGCAGAGGGGGGCACGAGAAGAAAACCAGGTTAGCAAGTCTAGCTACTAGCCAGGCTAGATCCAGCCTCGCTGAGATTCCTCGGTACAAAGGGGTTAGCCCTAAATCCAAATTCCTTTCCCAAGTTCAAAACAATGACAACGTCAATAAACTATATTTATTTGGTAAATATGCACTATATGACTGCTCCCCCCCCCCCTCCTCCCCCAAACACACACATACACGATTTCATCTCTCCTCACATAGGTATGCCGCAGCATGTAGAAAAGTTGACATACCTAAACTTAGTTATCCAGGAGCAGCATTGAGCTCGAAAAGTAGTAAACATTTATGGTTTCTGACGAGCAATAAAAAAACCTTGCTATACAATGGTGTAAAATCTCCATACAAAAGTACCAGTATTCTGTATGCTCCATTACCCTGACATTCGCACAAATACAGCATACTCATCTTCATTGATGTCACCGAGTTATCCTTTGCCTCGTAAAACTTCCTCAAGTTGGAACTTGGCCGTTGTTGTTCCATGGTTTCTGCCACACCGCATCCATCAATTCGTACCACTCTAAGCGGAAACTTGATGAGCAATTGGAGGCTGTTTGGACGGCCGGCAACCTCACGAGTCTTTGGTGCTGCGAATAGCAGCTTCTATGTCTTTCCACTTCTCTTGGGGAAGTTCGGAGAACTTGTTGAAGACACTGGCACAGTAGTTGAGGTTGGCTCCGTCGATCCTGATAACCTGATAGATAGAGCGAAAAACGAAATATAAGTCGCCACTTCGAGGAACGCATGAAGCTGCGAGGAATTAACTGCACAACTTCCAACGCAGTTAACGCTTTTTATTTCTTGCCTGACCTTCTCGGTTACAGAGCTGACAGGCCAGCAAGGATCGTTCCTACTCAATACCTCATTCCTTTTCTCTTCTCAGCGTTGAAAAACCTGTTCCCCCCTATTGACACACTCGAGAAATGTTTTCCCGAAAAATTGTAAATTAGAACATTAATTACGAAGCTAAATAACATAATAATCATGCAGCCCTTGTTTAAAAAACAAGCAAAAAAAACAGTAATTTAAGTGCCAAGGAAACAAGGTGCTGCTTGTACTTTTAAACAAGGCTCACGATAAGATATACATATACATGCCTCAAATAGCATCAGGCAAAAAATTCTCGGACATGGCAAATAAACTTAAATGTAATACCATTCCCTAATAAGAGATAGAACAAGAACAAAAACAAAAACAAAAACAAAAACAAAAAAAAACAGCAACAGCCCCGAAGCATGTATTCAGAGAGAAAGTCATCTGCTCCTTGCGTGAGGGCTGTGGTGTTGTCAGAGCTATGCTGAGCTGATTTGCTTTAAATGAAAGGATAGTGGGAAGACCTCAATGCTAGATGCCTTGAGGTCCACCCACTACATTTTTCAATCGACCAACAAGAGCTCGGCGTTCTGACGTCCTCACAACCCCTGTGCAAGAAGCAGACAAACTTGCGCTCCATGTAGGAAGACCACGACTGCATCGACAAAAGGCTCTCCCAACCCACCTCTCCAGAAAGCCAGCTTGAGTAGTCGCTCACGAGGTAGGCGGCCAGGTTGGCCACCTCGGGCACCTCTCCCAGCCGTTCTATGGCGCCCTTCACAAGTTTCGCAGACATATCTCCGCCTGGGTCCAGTCTGCTGAAGGCACCCTGCAAATGTGCCGACATCTCAACCGTCCCTGCCCATAAGTAAAGTGTTTTCCGCATGCTTAACGACGAGCCAAGCATGCCCTTGTAGTATGTGCATTACAGTTTACAAGGTGAGTGGGTTTTTACACCGCTTTATTGCATACACGTCGAGAGTAGGAGGGGCCCCTCGGCTGCCAGGCAGGGAAGCGTCCTCAAGATCAGAAAGTTTGATCCTGAAAGTCCTTAACTTGCTGAACAATGATGCTCAACAAGTTTATAATTGGAATCATACATTTATTTTCCCTAAATAAAAAGTTAATTGACAAATCTTAGTTAATTATGCAGTTTACTGCAACAATTAGCCCCCTATATTATGTTTCCCTGAATGTATATCTAGAATTTCAAATTTTTGGAGTTTATTTTATGTCAAAATCGAAGGGTGCTTTTCGGAGTTTATTTTGTGGTGAAAATTCAGTTTATCAAAGTTCATTTTTGCTAAATTCCCAATTCTCCAAAATTTTAAGTTTAATTCTGCAGTGTTCTCTATTTTTTAAAAATAAAAATAAATATCTTGGTGTAGATGTATGCGAGATTGAAGAGAACACACTTGTATTAATTATTATTTCTTCCGATAATTACACTTTAATTATAATTACACTTACAGCCGGATTTTGCGTTGATGGCATTGCCGTTGGCAATAGTAATTTGTCCCACGACAAAAGTTGCAAACAGGAGTTGCTTCGATAAATGTTGATACCTTAAAATCAATAACTCCTGGAGGTAGTTGCTGGGGAGCTCATATCCATTGCATTTTATTCCATCAGCCTACCCCGCAGCTGTGCGGAATGTGGTGTTAAAGGGTGTAATATAAAAGCTTCAACTGCCCATCTATGAAATCTCTATGGCTCGCAGCTTTCAATGTTGCAAAAACACAACCCCTCCCTCTGCTAAAGCACAAATAATATGGCATAAACTGGAAAACGGAAAAGTGGACTTTGTAATGACCTGAAAGTACAATAACATGTTGTTCTGAATGAACCTTGACGAGCTAAACAGTAAGATGCCTTTTATGGATGGTCCGCGGTTTTAAAGAAATCTGGAGTGGCATTTTCTCCAAACTAATGACCCTGTGCACTAACCAAACTTAAAATACCATATTTTTTTTTTCTTTCTTTTGGCATTGGTACACCGATATTTGGAGTTTACCAAATAAATCCAAATTGATTAGGGTGACCAGACGTCCCGTTTTGGCCGGAACAGTCACGTTTTTGAGGTTCGCTTCTGCAGTCTCGTCTTTTTGTCCCAATAAAGAATTGTGTCCCGTTTTCGCACGAGTGCATAGTTTCGAAATTGGCACCAAGCGAATTGAAGCAAACCGAAACTATGCCTACTCATTACAAGAATATTTAACAAAAATAACCGTACTTACATACTTTAAAATATGAGTTAAGCTAGCACGTGCACCTCGACCGGAAATGGCTATACGCACGACTCAAAACTTGGTGGGTCTCGTATAAAACGAATAGCTACAAAAAGTTTCAATTTGCAATTAAAAAAAAAGGCAGCGTAGTTTAGTAGAAAGGTGCCTGCTTCATACGCAGCGGACTCAGACTCGATCCACAGAATGTGCTTACTTTTTTTTTTTCCTGAGTGTTTTTTTTTTTTTGGGGGGGGGGGGGGGGGGGGGGGGAGGTGGGGCATTTGGCAATATTTACATTTCATTTCCACAGTTAAAACTGAAAAAACAAAGAAAACTCGAATATTGTCGACGAAACTTTGCTGAACCAAATAGTATGGGACTCCCTTTCCGGCGGCTTGAGTTAGCTTGGGTTGCTGGTTGTACGGTGGGGCCAAGTGGGTTAATAGTTTTGTAATGAGCAGCCGCATACTGTCGCCGAGAAGCGGCGTGAACGCAGGCGGGGGATATTTACCCAGAGTGTAAATTTTAGTGCAATGTGATGACGTTTTAAAATAACAGCAGTTATTTCATTAAAGAGATACTATAACGGAATTTTGGCGCTTATTTTTTGGTCTATATGTGTTCAAAGAAGCAGCACCACATCAAACGCACCAATATCTTGTTAAAAAAAGTCACGAAAATGAATTTTAAAACAAATTAAACGATTAGCAAAAAGCACCAGGTGGATGTCGCTAACGCCTCGTTTGTAATGCCCGTCTAGGAACCTTGAGAGGTAGTGACGGTAACTGTCTCGCCTCCAGCCACGACGAGAGAAGAGGGGAAGGAGGAACCCTCCTCTTCCCGAGAATCCCTTTTATGTGTCCCAAAAGTCGCTATCGTCCCTCTACAACAGTGGTCTCAAACTCATTTGAGTGTGGGGGCCACATATTGCACACTGGAAAGGCTGAGGGCCAACATGAGACAAGGGGGGGTCGAAAATATTTTAAAGAGACGAGACCTCGTGCTCTATGCTATTTGTAAACTACCAGTTTTGCCAGTGGAGTCTAAAGATTATATTTGTATATATGACTACTTTGGGCCCTGACCCGATATGATAACAAGAATTAAAATGACACAGCCCCGCCAAATGTCTGGCATTTTTAATGGAACAAGAGAGCGTATACTGTCGTTCCCGCTGCTGAATTCACTCAGGAATTGACCAAGCTCATCACGTCTCTACTACAAACAATTAGTTAATTTGGCAGTTCTTGCTTTTCTGATAATTTTTATTATAATACTCCGAACAAACATTTGTCTTTTAACGGTGAATTTTTTTGAAGGCAAAAACCAAGACATGTAACATTATCTTTGGCAGTTGTTACTGCTGATCGAGAGTTTGAACAGCCGAGATGCATCCTTCAACGAAGAGCTCGCTTGCGCTTGCAACCTAGTAGCAGAATTGTTGTACACATAAAAAATGTTGGGAAGCAAAAAATAAAACGAAACAACGGGCAAATGAACACAGATAAGTACAGTAATGTGATTGGCCTAAGTCATTTTGGAGCACCTTTTGGAGCAACCAAAACAGTGTTTTGGAGCAGCAAATGTGACCTTTGGAGCAACCAAAACAGTGTTTTGGAGCAGAAAAGTGGCTCTTGGAGCAGCCAAAACAGAGTTTCGAAGCAGCAAAAGTGGCTTTTGAAGCAGATATTCTTATAAAAATAAAAATATTCATTTTAAGTGCTGTACAAATGAAGGGCACTTTGTGTTGTGACTTGTGTAGTGTTCTAATGTGATGTGTTGTGACGGAACTCGTTGCTTGTGTTTGTACTGCTGAGACATCCCAGAAGTCTACAGTGCTGTAGGCGTTGCCGAGCAGTTCCGAAAAACCGCTTGCCACCGTTTTCCTGGTTCCGGACGAACCAGATTTTCGCCAAAAGTAAGCAAACGTAAAACAATAGATTGCAAGCGTCCCGGCTGGTGCCTCTGTCGCGCAATCAAGTTCGCAAACACGTGAGGGCAACTTTAGCAGGCTAGCAGTTGCGCATACTTTGTAGAGCGAGCGGAGACAACGGCTGTGCGATCGCAACCGAAACCATGTCACTCCGCTCCGTCACCAACCGATTCCCGAAATTGTATGCAAAATGTAACTGTCAAGCGTAAGACAAAAAACAGTCCAGCGGCGCATTCTCGTCAGGGAGGCAAAGAAGGTACAAGCTAAACACATAAAAAAAAGCAAAACAAACCTGAGTGCACCGATGCAAGACATCGCGAGCCAGGGTCAAAAAGTTCTTGGAGTGCTTTGTGCAACGACTGAACTCGAAACAAACAAGTGCGCTGTGCAGGTTCAGCGCAGACAGTGCCATTCTTTGCTTTAGCTCACACCTCTTCAACTTTCTTATCGCGGCAGATTTTTCAAATACCGGGGTACCTCTCGAAGAAAAGTCCACCAAGAGAAACCTAGGTAATCAATACTTCAACACAGCAGTCTTTGAGTTGAAGAGGGATTTTTGTAGTAACGTATGATTTAAACAAGAACAGGAATGTTGATGAACATGTGACGGTACATCTTAGTTTCATTTTAGAATGCGCCATATCTGCACCGAGGTGGGGACGGCAACACCCAACGTTGCGTGACCATGGTGACTGGAAGGCAGGGACCAAATATGGTTTTCCCACGGCTGTTGCTTTCAGGAGCGAGTGCTTCAGTTCACAAAGCAACCCCTGCCACGCAAAAACGCGGTTTCATTTCACAGCATGACAGCATGGCTGGTACCCAGTACGCTACAGTGTCGGAGCCTCCGCACACACCCGCGTCTATCGTTGAAAATATATAAAAAAAAGTTGCGAGACGAGATGACGAGAGCATGAAACACCAGGTGGCAGGAAAACATGCAAGATCGGATGGACAATTGATGCAGGGTACTTCGTGTCGGTCGACCTAGAGTCACTGGGGTTGTGTTCCAAATCTTACCCAAATAAATCCGAGTTACTCCGGCGGGTCGTGTCACGTGACAACACAGATTGAAAAACGCTGGATGCGGGTAGGTTTTGGAACACCAAGGTACAAAACCCTTACCCTGGAGGAAGATGAAGTAAATTTTGGAACACCGCCTAGGTCGGCCGTTGCGCCACATAACACACGCATGCTCAATTACGGTGCTCAGTTTAGTTTCGGTTTTGAAAGACAACCAAAATTGTTTTTTTGGCGCAGGCTTGGCGCAGATTACCCATATTTTGGCAAAATGTAGCAGGATGTAGCAGGGTTAGACCCTTGGCGCATTTTGGCACAGCAATCACATCACTGTAAGTATAAGCTATGTGAATAGGTTGAATAAGCAGAGCTACCTTTCAAGCGAAAATTAATTGGCGATATGAGGTCACTATGGCACATGCCATTTCTAGTGCACGAAACATAGGAACCGGGACTTGCAACCGGTTGCCTGCGGGCCGCGTCCCAGCAAGCCGCGTGTTTGAGACCCCTGCTCTACAAGATTATAGCAGATTAACCAGTCACTCAAAATTCATACAAAAGCAGCCGCTTCGGTGGCTGGAACGACTAGGCCATCCTCTCGACGTCAGCCTCACCGTAGCTTTGCTCGTCCCGAGACAAACTACGTCACGATTGCGTTGGTTGTCACGTGCCCTCTGCTGGCTGTTCTCCGAGCGCTAGCCAGAATGGGCCGTTTATAATTTCCCGTGTTTTTCGGTTCATCCGAAAACACAAAATTCTACGTATAGCTTGCCTGCACAAACCCCATTAGTGCAGCTTTCGTGGCGTTTTTAAAATGAAGCCTAAAAAAAAGCTGTGTTTTAGTATTACCTGTTATACTGCTTTGGTTGTGCGCTGCTAGCGAAAGTTTAATTGTTTGCATGCTGACGTGCAAGATACGAGTTCTTTCACTTTGTGTATGTGTCACTGTATGCTTACTGGCTTGACTGGTTTCAAATATACAAGCTGCTAGCATCTGATAAAAAGTTACAATAAAAAAAAGTAATTTTTAGATTAATATGCTTCCTTGGAACTTAACTTTACCAAGAAATAGTGTCAACGTCTTTTATAAAAATCATTCAGTTCAGGCAAACTGACAGATTTCTTCACATCGCACAATGTCTTTAGGCAGGACTCAAACATGCGGCCTTTACCATCTCGAGGTTGCACATACGGGCGTACCCCAGCTTTACAGTGAGCTTCCAATGCTGACACAGGTACAGTCACAGCAAGGACACTGATATAATAGGAAAGCATTTTTCTTCTTTTAGCACGTTTACTGCACAGAAGGGTCCTGTGGTAACTCAACACTGTCGAGACTTGTGGGACAAACCTTAGTGTACACGGCCCCCGGAGATATGCAGTTGAAGCGCATGCCATACTTTGCCCACTCTGCAGCCAGGGACCTGTCGATGAAGCACAAACACGTAAAGCAAACATTAAAAATTCGAGAATAAATACCCAGTCACGGCACTCTAACATCCAGCACACCTTGGAAGAGACCCATTCACTGGAATTTCCTCACTCATTTTGAAACGGCTCTTATCCCTAGCTTTTCCTCAAATAAGCATATAAAGCAAATGGGCAATTGTCAAACCTTGGAGCAATTCAAACAAGACATTCGAGAATTAGCATCCACCCACGGTACCCCCATATATCGGCCCGTCTTGGAAAAGACACCCTCATTGGCATTTTCCCACTCAACTTGAAAACAGCTCATTCGTTTGTTGTTCCTCAAGCGATGTCTCCCACGACTAGTTCTCAGAAATCTTTACTAAGAAGATTTGGAGCTGTTTGCTCACTATTAGGCGTCTCTCAACTGTGAAGGGTCGCAGGCAACTGGTAAGGGCTCCCAGGATAGACATTGCCGATTATACAGCGGTTTGCAAGATCTCATGCTTTCGGAAGAGTGCACAGAGAGCATGAAATATTTCTTCGCCAACCTGTTGATTCCAGTCGGACCCAGGTCCCACCCTTCCCATCCGTGTCTCAAATTTCTGTTATTTCCTGTCCAGTTCAGTGGCATCCAGGTGTTGTTGCCATTTGAGTATCACGGACAGGTACCATCTCCTGTTACTTGTGTTGGCCTTCTCTCAGGCATCACAAAAGCCTCGTGATAGTCATATATTTCTTTTCTGACATACTTCTTTCAGTCAAGTTTGAAGTCAAAATTTAACAGAGCCAAAGCAATCCATACTACTATTATTGCAGCTAAAGAGCCAACCTTTTAGTATTGCAAATAGGTCTAGTCTGTCTAAAGAGGTCAGACAAACAAATTGTTCAAAGACGTTGCCATCGGCTTTTGAAGTCATGCCAAACAACACCTTCCCCTGTCCCAATGTCCAATTTTTACATAAGAAGTATAATTTGAAAACTAGCAGTATCTCGGTACTGCCAGTAAAAAAAAGGATGCAAAGAAAATGTGTCAGGAGAGAACTTGTCTGTTGCGCCAGATACAGTATGCTCTGGATAATTCAAACTCAAATAATTCATACTTCTGGTTAATAAAGACAAATATCAAAATTTAGGTTGTCCCGCTATGCTTTCAATGTATTTACAAGCCACTTAATTCAAACGGCGTTTTCGTGTAATGCATACTTTTTGTTCTCGTAGCCCCATTGAGCGCATTCTCACCGAGCACCGATGCACTACGGAAAAGCATTGCCTGCGGTGCTCACTTCCGTTGGTGTTGCTTCTCTGCAGTTCACCGGTGCTTGGTAAGCGAACTTAACAGGGCTAATAACTGACACTCCCCGAAACTCTTTTTATAATTATTTTTGCCAGGCAATTTAATATGGATGTCAGGAGACTAACCAATGAATATTTTGCTGCAGAGTCACATATATTTTTAATAAAGCCAAAAAACTTGACAGCTCGAAACCGACACACGAGCACGGAAGCTCATGGCCAGAAGTCACGTGGCTAAACCCGACTGCGTTTTAATGCTAAAACATTAACTGTCCCATGAAGCGAACAGACGTCGTCAGCTTTTGAAGCCACGCCAAACAACACCTTCCCCTGTTCCAATGTCCTGAAGCCTGTTGTGTGTAGAAGAAATCTGATGGATAAGCACTCATTGGCTGGTGCGTGTCATAGTATCAAGGAACGAGGCCCCACTGGCTCTCGTGTGGCGCAGTTCCAAGGAACGCCACCAGAGAAACCCTCTCCACGGTAGCGCAGCGCATGTAGCGGCCTGGTTGCCGGTAAGAGGTGCGGGCCTGGCCATAGAGCCTTCATGGGAAAACTCCGAAAAGGCTGCAAGGCTGAGCTCAGCGCGGCACAGCCACTTCACAAGGGCGTGTGCTTGGCCGCTACCTCGGCATTAGCGAAACAGGGCCGTCCATGCCAGTACGCCGCAGACGAACTAAGGGAGCGGAAAAACAACATTCATGCTTTTGCATTCAGAACTCATTAGAAGTGCTTAGGTGTCCTCGGAATTTTTTTTCTTTCTCCAACGTGTGCAGCGGACAACGAAGTTGTGCGCACTATTTGTCGTGCGATGGTTTCGCACTTACATCCCTTCTGCTCTGCGCTCCGCACAGAGCAGAAGGGATGTTCTGCGCTTGAAGATCAAATGGCCGGTACCACGAACAACATTTTCGGAAATAGCAACCCCATGTCCGTCACAACGTTGGTCAGTCATGTGCCGCCATTGTGTTGTCCGGCCTGCGGTACGTCACCATTATGAGAATGATGTGCACATGTACAGGTTTGCTCAAAGTAAAACAGAGCGCTGAAGCAGCTGCCAAACTGCATCACCGCGCTACCTATCAGCGCCGGCTGGAACAGATAGGTGCCATCTGCGCATGCGCGCGTGCCGTTCACGGTGTCCTTTGTCTTCCTTGTTTAATCCTCGCATTACCTGCGTCTCGAGCTGCCAAACGCTGTTGTGATGAACACCGTCAGGTGTTCGGCTTGCACGGAGAGATAACACTAAGGGCAAGCGGGAGAGAAGGGAGATTATCTTTCCGTGCGAGCTGAGCACCTGGCAGTATTTTTAGAAAGAGCGTTGCGCCGCTCGAGCCACCGATAACGTGTGAACTCGAAGAAGAAAACAGAGGCCCCCGCAAGAGGCACGTTCACACATGCAGATACTTGCAGCTTTTTGGAGGCCACAAAAATGGTGACGATAGTAATCATTGGAGAAGGAGAACAAGTTGCATTAATTGCATTATCATCATAACCTTAAAAATGCAGGCCATTTACCCTTGTTGTCGTTAGACTAACCCGTTTGCCCTACTGACGTCTAACTCCTGGTTAGCTCAGTTGGTAGAGTGCTGGTTCGATACCAGGACCAGGCGGATTTTTTCGGTTGCGCACTAGTCACCTAGCTGTGCTTGGAGATTTGTGTTTGTGCTTGGTCTCCCTTCTCCAGGGGTTATTATCGTCATTTTTGTCCAGCTTGCTTGCACTTTTGCATTATCATCACAAAAATGGTGCTCATATTCTTTTCTATTTTTAATAGTGAATCTGTGCCTTCGATGACTCACGATCAGGGTGTAAGATAGACAGGTGGGGAAACGAGAGCCAAATGAGCGACCGCATTGTGTCCCCCTCGGTTTTCTCTTTTTCTGTGGCACCATCTATGTGGAGCACCGCGAACTCTCACTCCGAGTGGGCGACCGATGGCGACTGGCTAAACTGACGGAGATGGTTTCTCGTGGATTTTCAATGGAGGACTATCGTGCTTTCGGTTTATTTTGCGCACTCTCCCATAGAGTTCCACGCAAATCCGATTCCGATCTTTTTCCTCTCGCCGCAGCGCCATCTGTCGCAAATCGGCGGTACCCGGAAGCAGACGAGTACACAATCCGGTCACGGCGCTGCGGTAGGCTTCTATGGGCCGTTTCCCCACCTGTCTATCTTACACCCTGCTCACAACTTTGAATATATTTGGTAGCCGTAGTTTGAAAAGAGAATGAGCACGACTGAAACTGGCCGATTCTCGATTGGCTGTTTTCGGGCGGAAAGATAACTAATTTCGTGTTGCAAATTGTGTTCTGGGTAGTTGGGCTCTTAGAGGTCATGTTCAAATAAAAACTTCGGCAAGCCTAGATACCCTGTCAGTGTCCCTTTAATTTTGTTTTGAGGTGTCATCTGCTGTCTAGAAAAAAGTCCATGATAGACATTTTTGAGGGATGAATGAACTTATCTCATAGACTTCACCAATGTTTTTCTTGTGTGGCATACCTGCTCATGATTAGTAGGCATGTGTAGAAGAAATCATTAAATATCCGCTTTGCATGTGTAGCCGTCCATATAACAAATCAAAATTTTAACTTGAATTATATTTAGACGAATTTCTGGTAATTCAAACAAAATTTGTGGCTCCCTGGAGTTTGAGTAAATGAGACTCCACTGTACCACAAACAGGGGGGAAATGCTTAACACTCCACGAATACAAAGGATCCCGAGACAATAGGTCATTTCCCCAAACCCCATGGCGAAAGATGGTGGTGCTAGCACAGGATATCTGGCAAAAAATAGACAAAAAGTAGACTAGCATGTAGTAATTGAAGTCAAATAAGATAGACCAAGGAGGAAAGAATATTCCACTTCAATGAATGCTTCAGAAGCAACAGATTGTATTGCCATGCACAGAAGCACCAAATTTCCAGTGGCCAACAAGGGAGGAATGACCAATGTTCCTCCTGGCTCATGGCATGTGGCAGTGCAGAAAAGGAGCTTTACATATTCCTATTTTTCCTTGGAAAAGATAAGTTGAATAGAGAAAGAACATGCCCTTTTAGATGGAATAATTAAATTATATAGTAGATGGTGAGAACACAGAAAATATGTTAATTTCTCTTCTGTGCAAATTTTAGTTCATGACTGTACAAGTAATTTTTGTATAGCATTATATATGTTTATTGCGTAAATCTATTCGTCTATGTTCTTCACAGGTTACTTGATGCGCAAGTTTATTTTACGTGCACCCTGCAGCTGTTGCATTTTGGTGTCTCGGGGCCTGTAAAGCTGTTTTTATCAGCCTTCATCCCTCGTCCTCCACCAACACTGCATTTTTATTAGAAACGGATATATTATTTTTTCACATTTGGCTGTGTTAGACTGTTTAGATTCAGAATCTAGCATGTTAGGGCAAACTGTGCTTAGTGCCATTTGAGGAACAGTTTTCACCGTTGTGTGACTCCAGCCGGTGAAGAGATGGGCAAAGTTTGGATGTCTCCACTCACATCATCAAGGTCTCAACCCCACTCTTGGCAGCTGCGCTGGGAGCAACGAAGCCGGAGCCAAAGTTTGTGTAGGGTGCAGACACCGCCAGGAAGTTTGCCCCTGGACAACATAAAAAAGAAAGAAACCCCTACTGTATATACTGAATAGCACCATTAAAGGTTATGAACAGCCAGAAAGGCTGACTGGCCTCCTAGGTTCTACAGCACACTGAATCACACACAGTGGAATCTCAGTAAACGGAAGTCGCTTAAACGGAATTGCCACTTAAACGAAACAACACCCTCAAAGTTGTTTGGTTTCATATTTATGCAAAGCAAAAAGGTTCCCATAAATCGGAAACAAAATTTTCGGACGTCTGGATAAAGAAAACTAAAAGAAAGAAGTTTTTGGTGCTGTATGACATATTCAAAGCACCATCGCTGTATGCATCATTGTTTGTCTCCCTCTGTTTCTGGCAACGCCGTCACCGTAACGTCGGCCTGTCGGTTTCGGAGGCTAGGCTAGACTTAGCGATAGCATCTTTGATGGCCGAACGAAAGCGGACGCACCATTTTCTTGCATTGGAAAAGAAGCTTGAAATCATTAATGAATTCGATAGTGGTTGCTTCACAAAAACGGCGCTCGCAACGAAGTATGGCATTCCAAAAAGCAGTCCGACAAGGATTCTTCACGACAAAGAAAAGCTACGGACAACAAACTAGCCTTCGCTAGTTTGTGGTTTGGACCACAAAGGAAGGGACTGCAACTGTCTGACCACAAAGAGCTTGAAAAGTGCTTGCTGTTGTGAATAAGGCCTGAAACCCTTAAAATGTTCACAAACCCCCCCACACCAACAACCCCGCTACGAGGCACGGGGTGCGGACAGACACATCTCAAGTTCTGCCGAGTAACTGCACGATTAGCGCCGAACACTGTGTAGCATTTCTTTGTGCCCTGAAGCTCAAGACGACGACGCATTTGAAGAAAGGGCCTGTCCCTGCTTCTCCCCAATGTAGGAACTCTCACTCACTACAGGAAGTGTACACACTGCATCATTACTCAAAAGAGGCAACAAAATGCGGCACCTGCTTTGAAGCGCATCTGGTGCTCCTGTAGTTTGTGCTGTACTTGAAGAGTTGCGTGCTAAAGGGCAATGCGAGTGTGATCTCTTTGCGTTGCCTTTGCTTCCAAAACTCAGAATATGCAGGTCTTCCAAGAATCGAAGATTGTTTGCAAAACCTTAGTAATTTCCCCAACATTCTTGCATAAAAAAATAAACAAGCAGTGTTGAGAAGTACCTTAAGTACATGGTACTTAAAGTACTACTTCAAGTAGGTTTAGAAAACTTGTACTTTACTCGAATTACATTCTCTCAGCATGTACTTGCACTTCACTAAAGTATTTTTTGGGGTACTTTCCGAGGAAAGTACAACTCCTGACGTACATTCCCCAAATTTGAAAAAAAAAAAAAAAAAAAAATGGCATATCGTCATACTTAAAAAAAATTAAACAGAGAAAAAGGGAAGGGACAAACAAAGAGACTTTGTTGCTTTGTCCCTTCCTTTTCCCTTTTTCCCCAAGTATGAACGTTCACCAGCTAGCCTGTGCCATAACCCTTATTTCCGCGTATCGTCATGTGAAAATGAGCTAATCTCTTTCCAGACGTCAAATGGTTATTTTTCTGAGTGAAGTGATGGTAGCCATAAGATTGATACAAATAAGTGCCTTATAAGCTGATTGTGTTAAATAGTTGGTTAGCAAGAGTAAAGCTACTACTCTGTGGCGACTTGACTTTAAGCCCCCCCCCCCCCCCCCCCCCCTCCCCCTCCCCCCCCAATATTTGCGACCATTTCCAAAAAAGACTAATGCACCTTCAATTACCCCTGGAGCAATGCAAACCAGTTTAAAAAAGGAAAACGCTGTGTAGGGGATCAAAGGCCATCATGAAAGATTGTGTTAAAAAGTTCCTGTACTTTACTTTGAAAGTAAATTGTATTTTACTTCAAGTACATTGCACCTGGTGTACTTACTACTTTACTTGAAGTACATAACTTCTAAATTACTTTGTACTTTACTTCCAGTATTTTTTAGGTGTACTTTATGCAACACTGTAAACAAGCAGAACCCTGTCAGCAAAATCAAGCTCAGGCAGTGCTGAACTTCAAAGTAGAAATGATACATCTGCAGTACATCACTGACCAAAAAACAAAAAGCACAAAACATTTAGGCGTACAGGAGCAGAACCAATGAAAACACAAGCCGCTTTACATTGGGCCAACAGAATTTTGCTAAAGGATCAAAACCTATGTACATTCTTGTTACCATCAAAAATGTAAAAGTAACTTCCAAAGTATTTCGCTACCTTCTTATGGTAGTTATTAATTTACAAAATTACTCTCCATTTGAGTAATTTCTACTCTACACAAATTCCTTTTCAGACCAATACTCAGTAACCTAATTTTTTTTTTTTTTTAGAAACTTGTACATGTCTGCAAAAAAAACTGTGCTCCCATAATAGATCTGAAGGCAAGCACACAAAATGTGCAGAATTAGAAACAATAAATGATATTCTTCTAAATAATCCCATACTTGCCTTACTACAAAAAGAAATACACAGAGATGCATGCTAATGATATTCCTAATTTACACATAAATAGTGCAAAGGACAGACAATATTTCTAATAATTATCACATCTGGACATCAACTTGCACAAGCTCAAAACTTTGCAAAAGACTGCCTCGGGAGGCTAATATTATGTTTGGTTTTACGTGCACTTTGTTTCTAGGTCCTCACTTTACAACTCTGTGCTTTATCAGTCATGCGCTTTAACATTTTATGAGGCTGCCGCATATCATCGCAAGACTGCTATATATACTGCACAACTTTGCAATTTGGACATATACCTTTGCTAGTGTTGAGAACATTGCACTTCTCCAGAAAACTGAACTGTTTAATATGGTTTGCATGTGATGTCTTTGCTCTATATGCTGGTCATCATTGCGATTTGTTCTTGTTGAGAAAATCAAATGCGGTAGTGCAAAATGGGCATGCAGAAGGTTCGTGCTCAGTGCATGCCATGTATTCGAGAGACAAATTATTCTTGCTTGGTACAGCTTCGTGAAGAATGGCAAGAGCGTTTGGCACAACGAAAACGCGCTTTCTGACAATAATGTTTTTGCAAACAAAGCAGTTTCCGGGATTACGCTTTCTGGTCTGTGCCGAAGACGTAAAACTGAGGAATCTTTACAACACAGTATGTTCTTAAACCACCCTTCCCCTTCCCACCCTTTTCTTTGTTTTAATGCTCATCCAGAGAATACTTTTTGTTCCTGAGGGACTCCTTCCTCTGTCTGGGGGTGTCAATTCAACAATAATATGCATCATTTGTTAACAGTAATCCTGCATTTCTTTCATTTTGCACCCAAAAACTGTGAAGTTTAAACGAAATATGGATGTGGTCATAACTCAGGGGAGAGCTTGAGAACGACAGTCATGCGAGACTAAAGCCAGGGTCTCACTGATAATAGGTCATACAAAAGACAGTCTGCAAACAAATTCAAACACAAGTCACTACAAGATCCGTGCAGCGAATGCCGCTTATAGCAACAAGTTCAAGGAGAAACGTAGCATGCGGCATTCGAATCATGGATATCGCGGTGACTGATGTTTGCAGACTGTCTTTTGTATGATGTATAAGCAGTGTGACCCCGGCATTAGAGCAGCAGCCAACGTTCGGCTGTCCCTCTGAGGCCACTAGGATCTTTGTTCTCAGGTATTCTTCCTGTACACACTTGTAGTTCTATTTATCATCAGATTAATAAGTCCCATTGTCCTTTCAATGCTTCTATTCTCGGGGACAGCTTTCTAAAACAGTTCAGCAACAACAAAAACATGTGTGGGTGCCTCAATGACGTGCACATGTAAAAAGGGTTGTGCAACACTTTTTAAACTTTCAACGAATACAGCTCTAAGCTAATCCCTGGTGTTGATAACTGGCAAAAACAGCCATTAGTTTTCTTCTTTGCTCAATGGCAGACGCAAGGAAAATAAAGGAAAGAAACTGCTTTCCCCTCCTCAACTTGCCATTAGAACAAGCGGCCACGTGAACTGACGCTAATTATATATCGTCAGTGTTCATCATAGTCATGCGCTGGGGTTGGCAAAGACTAAGGCATGGATTCAGCTTTGGACGTTGTTCGAGTTTGGCTATTCTCATCTTTGACTGAACACAAGCCATTACCTGAATGTTTGGCGATGCTGATTGTCATGAATTAGAGCACTCAGCTTGGGCTCATGACAATCGAGTATGTCATGGTGTCACGGGACTCTCGATGAGAAGTCGTGATATCATATGGCATCACGGTGTCAATAATGCTAATAAATCTAGTGACATACTCAATTTAAGTCAACTTGACGCAGAGATTCACATCACTACATCACGGGGCCACATGACACAACACTACTTGACAGCCTGTTTTGACACCATGACGTCACATGACAATGTGACATGATTTCTTAATATATTCATTTTGTAATGAAAAAAAAAAAATTACCGTGAACCGTTTTGAATTTGTTACCGTTATACTTTTTTCTGGTACAGTTCTGGTTCATTTCCAAGATGGCAGCAGAGATTTTGGTTCAGTTCAGTTCCGGTTTAACTAAAAATAAAAATTCGGTTCCGGTTTTATACTCTGCGTACGGTGGCTGGCGCCTTGAAGAGGGGCACTGTAAACGTCGCAGGAAACGCAGCGAGCAAAAATGCGGCGGCTGCTATTGCTTGTGTGTTTTGCAGCTCTGGTTACATCGACCCACTTAAAGGGATAGCTTATCCCCCCACAACTTGTATCCCCTTTCGCACCCTGCACGAAACTCGAGCAATGCGTTTTCTACTTTTTCGTGGAAGGCATGGCAGATAAGGTGTTCCAGAAGGGATAAGGGGTTGTTGTAGTGCACCCTCGACTGCGTACGGTGCCCCTAAGTACAGCGCCAAATTTATCCCTAGTGGCATCAATGCGTGTAGGGACCACACTGCCCTACGGGAAAGGGTTGTGCTTTTCACACCCACCTTCTAGTACACCTTCACCATAGTTCTAGTTGAGACATGCATTGTCACTACCTGTCAGTGCTCCTAGACGGACGTTACAAACGAGGCTTTAGCGACATCCACCAGGTGCCATTTGCTAATCGTTTAATTTGTTTTAAAATTCCTTTTCATGTCTCTTTCAACAAAGTGATACTGCTCCCTGGAACACCCATAGAGCAAGACATACCGTAGAATACCGCGCATCCGCCCATTCCACATTAAGCGCCCATTCCCAAATCTGTAAGATCTGAGAAAATATGCACAGTACATTTAGATGCAAAATTGATGACCGGAAAAGCGCCCATCCCCCATTTTTTTTGCAATTATCTCCAAAGTTTGAGTGGGTGCTTGCCAGGTATTTTATGGTAAGTGCTGAAATTTTGTTGTAGTATCCCTTTAAGCAGATTTAGGGAATGGAACTGTCTTGTCTTTCATGCGGTGTCAGGAGAAAGTGTGAAAGCGGAGTATCTAAAGTGAAAACCTCAATGAATAGTGGAGCCAATTAAGTACAAAACGAGCATGTTGGTAACGGTAATTAGACATGAGGAAGATACATAGAAAGGGCGTTGTCCGTCCCCCCTTTCTATGTATCTTCCTCATGTCTAATAGTGGAGCCCTTTCACAGTTTACGCTAGAGCACTACTTAACAAATATGGGCACTTAAATGTAAGAGATGCTGCACAGGTTCCTTCCAGTCTTTGTAACTCTACGTTAAACAAGGTTTCAATGTGCTTATCTTGTCCGTACAAAGAGCCACCAATGCTTCAGATAATTCCAGTGCATTTTGAAGCATCAAAAGACAATGACTAAAATTCTTCAAGAAGTATGGTTTAACTATTAAGTTCATTGTGTAAATGAACCTACAGGTGGTTTTTTCAGGCTTTTATTAGTTCTCAAATCTGGAACTTCAAATGAACAGGAATTGGTGCCTCCCCTATTTGTTTTGCACGAGACAACAGTGCCAGAATTTGACCGCTCCAGCAGGGAAAACACAGAACCTAAAAACACCTAACCAAAGTGTGTTCTAAGTGACAATTATTATCACCTCAAACCAACCTTTCTTAGCCTTGATGAGCCTCTTGCCGATATCGAGTGTGACAATGGCTGTTCCGTTGAGCACAATGTCTACGATGGTCCTCCAGGCATTGGCCGACAGCCGCTCCGTCGGACTGATGAAGTTGCCGGCTGCGTTGTTCACCACTATGTCCGGCAGACCGAGCTCTTTTTCACAGCGGTCAACAGCCGCCGCGACCGCCTCAGGGTCCCTGACATCAGCTGCCACTGGCAAGATCTGGAGACAAGCGCAAAAGCTGCATCACTGTCCCTGGACTACATTACGGTCTTGTTCCTTTCAAAGCTTACAAGACCCTTTTTTGAAACCCCATTGAGCAACACTGAAGGTCGCCATTTCTTGAGTATGATGTGTGCGATTGAGTCCTTGCCAACGCTGACACAGCACTCATGTCTAACACATGCTCCGAGCGCGTGCCTAAACAATGGCAGACTTGGATGACTGGTAGAGCCGCTACTAGATGGTGCACACTTTTGAAAAGGGTCCATTCCTCACGTTTAGTTGCACATATATTTTGGTTGAAGAAACGTGCCACACCTGGAGCAAACATTTATGTGAGCTAGGTGCAGGCACCTCAGTTTTATATCGGTAGAAAAGTTTGAGTCACGAGATGCAAAAAAGAAATGTGCAGCTACAAAACTACCTTTCGGCCAGTCTTGTCACTGATTTCCCTCGCTGTCTTGTCCAAAACGTCTTGTTTCCTAACGGAAAAACAAAACAGTCGGTCCTTAACAGCTGTTCACATGGCATCCAAAACTTTTCCTGCACTCCGGTTTACCTTACAAGGATCCGCAGCAGATGCCATGAGCCCCCAAAGCCAGTCACATGATTGTATGCTCCTTCCATCGCTGCACCCTTTCCAAAGGACACTCCCATGGCACTGCATTGGCTTTGAGGGCTTGTAGCATCCTCTGCGGTAATCATAGCGTGAAACGGAGTATTTGTTCAAAACGTCACATGAACTAAGACATAGGTGGCCCCATAGGTCGGCAGTAGGCAAATATACTTTTCATTTCAGACATTTTGTCATATTAATGTGAAGGTACAGATGGAGATTGAGGCCCACCTGCTCACAATAGCAACATTTGCACCAAGCTGTGCAAACATCTCTGTCATTCCTTTGCCAATGCCGGTGCCACCGCCAGTGATCAAAGCAACCTTGCTGTTGAAGGTCCCTGCCGGCAGCATGGGTGTCGTGACGGGGGGAAACATGCTCTGGGCAGAGCAAAATCCCCGGTGAAGGACCCTGGTCTGAAATCATGCCGGTTTTGCAGTCAGGACACAGTCACCCTACCAATTTAAGTTTCATAAAAAAAGTTTCGATTATATGACCAACTAGTTTCTTACATATTGAATGATACTTTTTAAGAATAAGTCTGTTGAATAAGTCTGTTCTTGTCCATACTTCACAGAAAACAAACTACGCCCTACCACTGAGATCAGTGGAGGCATCACAATGACAAAGCTAAGCAAATTAGACATTTGATGCTTAGGCAGTGTGAGGTTGGTCTGCCACTGGTCCACGCTGTAGATGAAAAGTTTAGTCGGGGTGGTAGCATAGAGGTAGGAAGCTTCTGGAGGCAACATGACACCACTAGAGGTAAAGCCACGGGAGACTTCCGGTTCGGAGGAACACGTCCTTAACGAAGAACAAAAAAGAACAATACCAAAAGATGGTATTCGACAGAAACATGAAGGCAGGAATAAGAGGAGGCGACGTACCGACTCAGGCCAGCCAAACGAGGAAATCTTAAGTGAAGCCGGAAGTAGAGCTTGCGGTCGTTGAGAACACCCCCAAGGGTGCCCAAGTCTAGCCAATGGTTTCTTCTGGTTTCTGCCATCGTTGGGGGCATGTTCCTCCAAATCAGATGTCTCCCCCGGCGTCATCTCTGGTTGCGGCGTCATGTCGCCCCCAGAAGCTTCCTACCTCCATGGACGGAAAGAACACCCTTGGGCACCCTTGGGGGCGTCCCCACCAACCATGACATCCACTTCCAGCTTCACTTGAGATTTTCTTGTTTCGCTGGCTTGAGCCTGTATGTTGCCTTCCTGTTCTTCCTACCTACACGTGTGATGGATAGCTTAGGGTTTTAGCCATCACACAATAGTGATACATGGTACATGGCATTCCGAATGTGGGCACGATGCAGATTCAGATCGAAAGGGGGAAGGGGTGGGGATCGAATCCAGGACCTCACCGAAATACCAAGTTTATGCTTTTAGGAGCATAAAGTTGTTTGGCCTCATCGCATAGTCACTACAGTAAAGCTATACGCACTATGTCGAAAACACCTTAACCGGAAATCACTATATGCACGACGAGAAACTTGTATAAAACGAATGGTTAGAACGAGTTTCCGAAGGGGTAGTGCAGCACAGTTGTAAGGTGTCTGCTTCATACATAGCAGACCCCAATTAAATCCGCACTGGAGGCTTACTTTTCTTTTCTAAAACGTTTTGTTATGTTGAGCATTTGGGCAATATTTACATTTCCTTTATACAATTAACACTAAAAAAAAAAAAAAAAAAAAAAAAAAAAAAAAAAAACTAATGTTGGTGACGAAACTTTGCAGAATTTAATGGTATGGGACTCCCTTTCCGGAAGTGCAATCGGGGACAGCGGAGCTTTGATTGGGGGGGGGGGTAGGGTTAACACGCTCATCAGTGATATACGTGCCGTCCGAAAAGGGTGACCCAGAACCGTGTATACAGAGAGTTTGGTCCATGGGAGGCGCAAGCAGAGCCAGGGCATGCACCAGACGCAGAAAGTGGGCTTGGCATGCTCTCTTGGCCAACCAGAAGCCTCAAAGAATCCCCTAGCAATGATAGTGAGAAACTGTTTTAATCAAAGGTATATGTTTGTATATAGTTTAAATAAGCATGTAAGAGTGAAGTGTAGTAACCCTTCCTGGTTGAAAATAGGGTGTACGTGATGTTTCGATCATGATCATGCAGAGACATAAGAAAGGAATGCGCCGCTCAACTTTGTTTAGCTCGGAAAGAGTGTGACCACTCGAACGGCAGATTCCCGGCCCTCGGCGCTTGGCGTACGGATTATGTCGATCATTCCACTAGTCGCACTCTTCAACCTTATTTTGGATGACCGTGATGGAAACATCACGTGCACCACATTTTCAGTCACCGTGAGTTATTTCGACGCAGTTATCAAGTATGTTTCTCGCGACCACCACCAGGGTATTATTTCCGGCTTCTGGTTGGGCACATTTGAATTTCTGAAAATGCCCTGGAATATGCTCAGTCCGCTCTCGGCCAATGGCACCTCCTCATTTGTCTCCTATTGTGCGGAATGGCGCGGTTTTTGAGAAGGTTCGAGAGGGCGCAAGCGCAGCTCTGACTAGGAAGGCGAAGCTGTGAACAGCTGCTCCGAACTCCTCAGACGTGACCAGGCGTCAGAGGCCCGACACTGTCCCCGCCTCCTCTCGTGGTCATGGCCCCGGCCTGCCTGAGGTCGACTGGACTATGTGAGGCGCTGAAGACAACTCCAGTGACCGGGTTCACCAACATCTCCGGGAACCAGACGCTCCAGGCTAACAACAACTGCCGCTGAGCCCATCAACGACGAGCCCTCCACCATCCTCCTTCGGCGCTACCCCTCAATGTGACCAGGAAAAAAAAACTGTGAGAAAGACAACACATACAATGAGATTCTGTAAAATAGCCGCAGTGTAAATATTTGGTTTTTCTTTTCTTCTGATGTCTATATTGCAATAGTGAAATATTCCCTGACGCATCCTGTGTCTTCCGTACTTCTATTAACACCCTAAACACACGAACTGTACCATCACACTATGCTTCCCAACGAATGGTCAAACTCTCTACATACACGGCTCTGGGGTGATCCAAATGGAATGAGGACTCGGCGTCGTGCGAATAGCCCTTTCCGGTCGCGGTGCACTTTTTCTGCTCCCGCACAGGGATTAATAATACGCGTAGGCATGTCCTCTTTGCCGTTTTCGACAGCGCACGTGCGCGCGCACGCACGCATGCACGCACACACACACAAACAAACAAAGGCACCCATGGTATGGTGGCTAGAAGGGGAGGTGTGACGGTCGGAGGAGGCAAGGCCGTCGCGCTGCGTTATGACGCCGCGAGAGGCGCTGTGGTCAGCAGCCCGATCAGCCTGTTCCGTGTCCGCGCTGTCGTCTGCACGTTTTTGCGGTTCGTTCAGTTTGTAGTGTTAACTCCGATGCAACTCTTTTTCTTGTGTCACAAGAAATAAGGGACTGAGATTTTAATTTTGTTCGACAGATGTAGCATGTTAGTTCGGTATTTGGCCTTCTGTTGTGTTTTAATCGTGGACCGATCACGGAACCTTGCGCGAAGTGGCCACTTACGTTCTTGCCTGAATCTTTTGATGAGTCAGTGTGGAATAAGATTGGAGCGGGAGATTTTGAGTGTCGGGTTACAAGCAGAGGGCGATAATGACTTGATTTGTCAGCGTTTGATGTTCACGCTTTCTTTACTGCATTACTAAAGCTGTTGTCCAATAATCCAGAGGTACCAGCGAGGTTCTGCCTAATAAATTTGAAATATATGGGTACCTGAGAAAGCAGAATTTTACTCGTGTTAAGGCTTTGTGTTCTTGCGTGCGGGTAGTCGATTCTTAGAACTTTGTATTTGTCTATCAAGAATTTTATCGAAAATACTATTTTTAACTGTTTCATAAAGTTGTCTATATAATTGAGAGCCCTGGCACATCACACCAAAATAAAGGGTGAATTGCACAGTGTAAAATACTTCAACGTCAATCCAAAGAATGCATGAACACTTTAATAAGCACGAAACTCAAAACAGGGTAGTGAACATCTTCCCAACAGCACAAACATGAGCCAGCAGTCAGTCTCATAAATCAGGGTTTCTACAACAGAACTATGTAAACATTTCAGTGGTCACAAACGGAGTGCCTTTCATAAAAACTCAAAAAGAAATGCAATAATGCCAGCTAGCTACAAACTCGATACTGGCTTTTACAGCACACGCCTGATCTTTAAGTGTTTTTTTCTTTCCCGGCTCTCCTGCCGACTTGCATTCTTTGTGGCGACAAGGAAGTGCAACCTTGTTAAGATGAAAAACTTAATGATCATGTTTGTCAATGTGGTGCTGTGTGTAGTGCAGCCAACAGAGCCCAGTGAGCATGCTTGCAAAAAAGAGCACACATCGAGGATGCTGTCCGGTCCAAGTTCTCGGGAACTAAAACAAGCAGTGAATGCATTTTCCAGAGACATCACTAACAGGTTCAGAGCTGCGGATGGGTAAAGAAGTCCACCCCGGTTCACAGCACTCGTCAGGCATGCTTCCTTGGGTGCTGCTGCAGATTCCTGGAGCAGCCGTTCAGTGCATTCTCTGCAGTTTGTCTTGCGTATGCACTTGCGTGCTACATACCCTGCAATGTAGAACACCAGGCGCGAGTCACTTCGTTCACGTGTGAGGGACAGCTGGTCGGTAACGATGCCACAAGCATCCAGCGTGGCTTTGGCTTCCTGAAGGTTGCCAAGGTCAAGGAGGTCATCGACTCGTCTCTGAGCGTCTTGTGCGTTGCTTGGGTTAAGAAGGCTCCTCAGGGTGCTTCCTGTGACATTCCCTCCTGTTGGCGATTTTGCAAGGTTGGCGAATGTCAGGCAGTTTACAGAGACGAGAAACTGTGAAGGTGTTGGATGGTCATTACATCCCGACATCTGACGAAGGATCCCGAAGAGGTTTTCAATGGGATCTTGACTAAGTCGTGATGTCAGAAGGTACCTGTACCCCAACTCTCCTGTCACGTAATCCAAGAGAGAAAGCGTGCTTGAAAGCGTAACACGAAGTCCTTCGGCGGTGCTGCGACTGAGGAAGCCCTGCCCTTGCGTTCCTGCCGATGCCTCCCATGTGTTAAGGTAATCGAGAAATTCTTGCAGCACAGCCTCGTTTCTTGACCCAGGCCTTAAGGCGTCCTTGCTGTGGCGAGATGTCATTACACTGATAAGGTCTCTCATCTTCTTGACAAAGCATTCTGTTGCTGTTGTGGTACCAAACCTGCCCTCTACTTCTTGCTTGTACAGGTAGAGGCCCCGGACTACCTCGTCGCTGTATAGGCGGATGGCGTGGCTGACGCTCATTTTCTCGAATCCGTTCGGGTGTAGCACCGGTTTTGTGACGCGTGGCATGGCTCTCAGTGGTGTGAGGCTCTTGTTGTCACACTTCCAGGCTTCTTCGATGTGCTCTACTAGAACTCGTCCTTCTGGTGTGCGAAACCCTGCAATCAGCATGTTGTTTCTCGAGCACTTCACCAGGTGCGGAAAATCCGAAATGAAGTGCAGCTTTCTGCTGGGGTCTGCAGGATGCTCCGTCTTGCAGACGACTTTTGTTGACGTTGCTTTAATTCCAAATATTTTCCACATACGCCTGTTCCATGCAGCAGCGTCACATGTCACAAAGTCAATGAAAAGCCCAGCTTTCTCAGTCATCAGAATAGCATCTACAATGATACGTGCGAGCATTTCGGCTTTTACATTAGATCGCGACCCAAAGACACCCAAGATCTGATGCCACTTTCCACCAAACGGCTGAAATAGCAGAACCAGCCCATGGTCGCACATGAGATGCTTTTCCTTCTCGGTGGTGTAGTCGGCCAAGTCCACAAACCCTTCAAGCTTGCCACCTTGTCCTACACTCAGGTGCTCAGAAAGCTTAATCTCGTCAATGAGCAACCCGCCGTGGCACATGGAGTTGTCAATGGTTTTTGTTTTTTCAGCAAGGCAACGGAACATGTTTATGTTAAGGCCAAATCCACCCCTGTACGCACGAGTGTATGTGCGGAGGCAAGTACGCCCCGGGAGGACGAGCGTCTTTTGTTTGCGAAGGTGCTCGTACAGACGAGGGCTCTTCATCCGCATGATGATGCACTCGAGTGCCCATTCATCTGTGAATTTCATTCCACACGTACTTTTACGCTTGGAGGCCTCAAGGCAAGCTCTCACCTGCTGTTGCTGCATGCTTGGCAAGCGCTTGAGTTCTTCATCCAGGGTTGATGGCCTAACCTGTGCGTTTTTCACTTTCATTTCTGCCAGTTTTTTCTTCATGGCAGCGACTGCTTCTCTTGCTCTCTTTAGCTTGAGCGTCTTGATCCGCATCTTGTGAGCTGTTGCTTGGACAGGGTACCTGATACTCCTCCGCTTGCGCGAAAGTTCATTCAGCAGCAGCTTGCGCAGATATTTGCACTGCACACATCTGCTGTTCTGGCTCTGAACAGTGCCAGTGCACTTCAAACTGAATACTTTGCGTCCAAATGTCCGGTGCTTACATTTCGCGCGAAGCAGTTCATCAAGATCCTGCACTTCTCCCAGTCCCATGCAGGTTTTCATCGCTTGTACTTCTCTAAGCAAGTCTTCGGCTCCTTGTTTGTTCTCTACTTGAACCGTCTTCAGAGTTGCACCCTGAACGATCACGAGGGCGCAGATCCCGTTGCTCGTGTTGAACACAACCGACCGCTCCAAGCCTACCGTCCCTCCGTCCATCTCGCACACTGAGAACACAACAATCTCAGGGGCACCTGAAACCAGATGGCTTCCCCAGTAGTTGTTAGGAAGTGCACAGTCTTGCAGGTCCACTCCTTGAAGAACGCTCGTGCTGGTGCACGGCAGGTCAGCGTCGTTGAGCTGCGGTGCAGAATCTGACCCTTCAATGTCAGCTCGAGGTGTTTTCGAAGGGAGGCCCTCAGACGATGTTTTTGTTCGGCGCTTCTTTGGCAGCGGCTTTGAGAGGTACGCCGGCAGATTGGGGAAAACTGTAGGTACCGCATCGTCTGTGAGGATAGGTCGGTCGCGAGGGATCTGAACGAGCTCCCCGCTCACTGTATGCGTGAAGTGGCGTACGATATATCGTTCGTCAAAGTGCAGTTCACAGAGGACTGACCTGTCGTCGAGTTCTTTGTCGGCTCTTGGAACGGCGCGCTGCCACGCTTGGAAGCGATCTGCTTGTTTAGGCACACCAAACAAGGACACGTGTGTCTTCGTTCGTGTCGAAACATAGCCGCTTGAGCACCCCGGCGCAAAGCAGTGCGTCTGCTTCTTCCCCATTCTGTCCAGTGCTCTGCCTCACTATATTTCGCTCACATGTTTGCAAAAGGCACGGGTAACAGAAAGACGTTTAAGCTAATAAGTGGTAGCTCACGGAAGCACACGAACCAACCAACACGAGGTCCAGGCGAATGACTCAACACAGGCAGAGCACCGGTAGCCGCCGATGTCTCCGGAGAAACAGATCGGGCTGGGCTTGCTAGCGCCACCTGCCGCCGTCATACGACAACGTAACACTCCGCACAACGGGGCGAGCCGTGGGACCGACACACCTCCCCTTCTAGCCACCATACCCATGGCCCCCGTGAGATGCCTCCCCTCCTCCCTCCCTCTCCGGACGCGTGTGGTGCACTCCAGTGGTTTTGACCCTTGCAAGAGCCGTCAGAACTATTTCTGAAATTTACGAGTTCGCGCAATGGGAGTTACTGCTACGATCAACAACTGTGGCGCGAGGAAAACTATTGTCTCTCTTACCAGACTCATTTTTGGGTGTTCCTTTGCTGATGGTTTTTCACAACTTCAACCACTTCCAACGCGTTTGGCTACCGGCAGTTGTTGCTGACCGCGAGATGACGTACAGCGGTAGAGCCAGGTAGTACAACGGGTACAACTATGGTGTAGAGCCCTAGTACAACTCACACACTCACACAGGCTCAGTGCAGCCGACCGCGTTGACCACGCGTGACCGCGTGACGTGACGAACTTGTCACGTTGTTACGCTGATAGACACACCACTACGTATTTATTTTTAGTTTGTGGGTATACAACGCCACCTAGCCGCAATTAATGTCGTTGCGGCCGCGGCCGCCTCTGGCGGCCGCTACGTGTTCACGTGACTAAAGTAACCGAGAAAAGCAAGAAAAGCACGTGTGGAGACCCCGAGGAGCTCTAGATCTTTTCGCCCCGGGCCCCCGGCTGCCCACATAACATGTGGGCTGCCCCAGCTGTCGCCTCGCGGACTCGTGCGAGCTCCCGCGCACTAGGCGGTGTTGCAGGGGCGTAGCCGCTTTAGTAGCCGCGTAGCATCCCTTTTGTGCCCGTCACTCAGGCTGGCGCGGATGCGTACGCCCGTTACGATGAGGTTCCTATCACTATCATTTCGTCGAAAAACTTTTCGTGGACCCTCATTCCGTCGACACGATTGTTTCATCGACACGATCGTTCGTAGGGACATTTCGTCACGCGTGTGTCACTGGGATGCGCGTAAACACGGAGCAGCAGTATTCCAGACGAGGCAGGGCTAGGGCAGTGTAGAGCGCGCGGAAAATTTCATGTCCCCAGTTCCTTGAGACAAGACACGTGTGACAAAGCCAAGAATCTGCCGGGCCCTGGACACAGTGTCTGCAAGCTGAGGCGAGAAGTCCAGAATTGAGCTGAACTAACAGAACCCCAAGGATATTGGAAGGAGCTGCCCTGCTGGAAATGGCAGGCCTGTTCCAATTGAAATGCATAGCCAAAGCCTATGAGCATGAATGGGCAATTGGCGCCGATGAGAAAATCCGATGCTTTGCACATTGGTGCAACTGGAAATGCTGCAGAGAAGCCGCAGCACGGGGGAAGGCCAAAGAATCGGTTGAGGGAAAGTCAACTTTAGGGGGCAAGCGCCATGATGCCAATTGTGTCAATGTGCACGACACTTAGTTTGCTCATTACCGCTCATTGCAGCCAGTGGCGCTATGTGGCAGAGCCATTGTACGGGAGATAGCAAAGAGCCATGCACTGCAGAGAAGTGAACTCGGTGCAGTATGGCAGTGACAATGCTCAATCGCCAAATTAGCACACCCTTGCAAAAATTTTCTATGGGACCGATAGAGATTTTTATGCGATCAATAGGATTTCATCGTACCGATGGGCATTTCTACTGGGCCGATAACAAGTTATATCGTACCAATACAGACTTGTACCATTAGGAACTTCTGTGGGACAAGCAGGAACTTCTATGGGACAAGATAGAAACTTCTATGGGAACAACACGAATGTTTTCTGGTCCGGAATACAAGTGCCTATTGGTCCTTCAATAGGATCAATAACAAGTTGTACTGGTTAAACTGAAAGCTTCATTGGTGAAATGGAATGCATTTCGGATCGAGAACTTTTAATGGTCGACTGGGAATACAGAACATAAAATCTATTAAGTGGGCATCTATCAGGTTAAACAGTATGCTTGGTGGAGAAATTAGAGTTGTTATATACTAAAGTTTTATGTTTTGAGCACAGGAAAATAATTTTTGCCGCAAATATACCCGATGGCAGGCAACAGCCAGGATTTTGATTCGCCCATGACAAAATACTGTATGAGGGGGAGGGGGGAAAGGAGGCCCCACCAAATGAAAGGTTTGGGAGGAGGGGGGGGGGGGGGGTCCCATGGTTCCCCCCCCCCCCCCCGTGCAGATACGTGCGTGCCCGATGGGTTCCTCTCTGCCAAATAAACATTTTTTTAGCTATATAACTTGGGTTGGGCCATGTAGACACTAATTAAATAAAACATTCAGTTAATCAAGTGAATATGAACTCTTTTTGTCACGTGTTTTAGAATTTCCTGATTACGTACTATCCTCCTTCGTATTATAAAACATGCGGCTGCCAGTAAAACATAAAGAAAAGACTATGGGGAACGGGAACATTGTGTGCGCACATAGTATGCACAAGATTCATGAATAATTATATATAGGCAAGCCACGAAATTCAGGTATCATCGGAACTCTGCAGTTTTAGCGGTGTATTCTGTCTTTTTGTTTTCCAGGATGTTTCAGTAACAGTAATAGCGTAAACGATTGCACCAACTGGATTATGTATTCACATTATACTTTGCTCCGTTTTATTCAGTTTTACCTGGTTTCGGAGCGGAACGTTCTCGTTTTTGTATAAATTTTGCTCCAGAACCGAGCAAATCAGAGTAAAACCGGGTCAAAAACAGAATAACACTGACTCAAAAATCCTATTATCATCTTTCACGATTGGTCCAAAGCTCTCCGACTTCCGACGTCGGGACTTTAAAACTTTGGCGGAGTTGGCGAAAAAATGCGATACTTCAGGCTTCCATTTTGCCATGTGAACGTATCCTGTTTGAGCCCTAGTCAAGGCTACGCGCTCGTTCTGGGGCGGCAGATCACGTGCACATTCTATCGTGGGCATGCTTTTTATTAACAGAAAATAAAAGCCGGTAGTGCCGAATAACATCCAATAATTATTAACACCATAGAAGTCATTAAAAAAAAAAAAACACATAAACACACACGAAATAAGGATGACCTTCCCGAAATTATGATTGCACCTTGTTTCACGCACAGTAAGTGTCAGGCAGCGCTTTCCACTTTGTAGTTGAGCAAGGAAGTTCCTTTTTGAAAGGCATTTTACGCGCTTGTTGGCAGTTTGGGCCTTTAGTTTGGCTTCTGGCTTCCCAATGTTGTAGTTTTCCTTGATGCCGGGAAGAGTGTACACTCCAGCAATGAAGTTTTCGAGATTCAAAAGCCCTTCATTTTGCGTCCAATTAAAATGAAGGCCAGCCGAATTAGGGTACGTCAGACTCGTTACATTCGTCTTTGGCAGTAGCCTTTTCGGAAACTTGGACAGGAAATTGGTCTTCAAATCTCCCGTCACTTTCACAATTTTATCACTTGTGTCTTCACTAACTGGCCCAGTACTGTGACCGCTTCTGGTTTCATTGGTACTACTTAGTTCACGGGGAGTTTTTGTCTCACCGTGTTCCGAGACAACCGAACTTACAGAAACTGCTGTCGGCGACGTCGGTTCTGGTCCCTGGCCTGTTGTAGCATTTTTCAGGACACAACTTCGTCTCAGGACTGTTGTCCTTGGCAAGCTGGGTATACTTAGTGGCTCCAAGTATATTTTTTTTGTTTGGGTTCATGGTCGCACAGGGCGACACCCTACGTGTCTCAAATCCAAAATTTAAAATTCGCACCGACGTCGTTTCGCAGCAAATGCAATTTTCTAATTAAAATGACAAATAAAAATTACTCCGTTATAAGTTTAATATATATTCAGTATTTACATTTGACAATTAAATAATACCATAATTTTTAAAAACGTTTATTATTTTCTTAAGTGCATCAGTCACACTTGCGGGCAACGTTACTAATAGCGAGTTCGTTTCACACGCACTGGCACCGTTCGAGTTCTCTCCCAGAATGCATCGCACTCTCAGAGTGTTGCACGGAAAACTGGACTCAAACGAACTCGCCAAATGCACCGAGTGCAGAAGACTGATTCTGCCGCCATCTATGTTGTAGAAAAGGTACCGACTTCAAACCGAAACTAGCGCCTTTCTGATCGGTGTGATGAGTGGGAATGCGAGAATGCAGTCGCTACCAACGTTTATCTAGAAACGTTGGTCGCTGCAACCTGTAGTTTATAGTTGCGATGACTTCAAGCAGCTCGGCTGCCGTAGAGATAGTTACAGACGGCGTAAATTTCCGCAACCAGCTGTCTACAAAGCAGCTGGTTGCGATCTTTCAATTCTTATAACCGTTTACACTGAAGAAAACTGATGATGCTGTCCGAGCACAAGCACGATCCGTTTGAACATGGTATTATGCGTGAACCGCTGAAAGGGTGCGGCTTAAAACTAGCCTGTTGGAATATCCAGCAAAACTGGGACTTTCTATTTGGATCGTCATTATAGGTGGATCAGATATTAGCCTTGGTGAGGGCGTCGAGAACGAGAACATTCTCGAACAAAATACGACGGGGCAAGTTAGCTGACGTAGGTAAATGTTAAACATGATGATGTTGCCCAATCCTCGGGTAAAGTTACCATCTTTAGCTTTCTCTGATGCTTATTGAGCAGTCGGAGATTTCTGCTGGGGGAGCTTTGTCGACAAATGTTAAATTTTTCCCCCGCACACGGATGGTGATAGATATCTCGGGGGCCGCTGTTACGTTTGTTCTGAGCATTCCTTTACACACTGGTATATTTCAGCGTTTGTACGGCAACAGAGCGATTTAAAACCTGCAAATAAATCACGGGTTGTCAATTGCTTTCTTCGGGAAATAGCAGACGCTCACAATTCAAGCTCGCGTTTGATTTCGTGGCCCGCGGGACACGATTTCTATCAGAAAATCTACTTTTTTTTCCGTTCGGTTCCGCGACACATCGTAGCAGACGAACCCTCGTCGTCTGCTCCCGCTCCTCGCCGGCCCCACCGGAGCGAGGCATGACGGGATTGCATTTTGGCGCACTCCCGATTTTCTCGGTGCAGCGAGTGCATGCACGCGTGGGGTGTCAGCGCCGTCAGCGCTGAAACGAACTCGGAGAGTGCAACCACTCGTGGAGTGCCGGCCGAAACGAAGCCGTTCCACGCTGCGAGTGGGCACGCGTGGGCACGAGTGCCGTGAAACGAACTCGCTATTAAACACTCAGTTGGGAAACTCGCCGTCGAAACCTGGGCCGCTGGCGTCCACCGAGACCGAGCTAAATGCAACAACAGCGCCACTCTTTATCGTTTGTCTGTACTGTGGTCCCCTTGAGCTTTTTGAAAGCCTGTTTTTGCTTAAAAACAAACGGAAAAGACTATTTTTGTATGGAATTTATTAGAGTTTAGTACCAAATGATGGGCGCGTGATGTTTTTATCATCTTTAGTTCGCAAAGTTTTGCGGAACAATTAATATTGTTTTCATACAACCATGCCTCAGCGGGCCTTTCAGGTAGCACGTCCTGGCCTAGGTGCATTTTAACGTCAGTAATTGAATGCGGCGCGCCCGCCTGGGAGACGGGGATGGCACCCCTGTAACCTCTACCGCTGTATCTCTTCTGAAGCCAAAATAGAAGTCACGTGCAGTTCTTCGAGAGGCCGCTGCGGGAGAAATGGTGGCGTTGTGTTCGTCATTAGCTCGGTGCTCGGAGACAGATTGGGGCCACTTTTTCAAAGCTGTCTCTATGGGAGTTTCCCAACTGAACGTTGCTTGCGGGCTTGCGGGTTACACCACGTGACAATATAGAGCGAGCTGGAGTCAATAGAGTGAACAGTGGGGTCACCCGCATGCATCCCATTCCCGCATGACATATAAAACCAAAATAGGTTTTCAAAGTGCAATTTATGCAAATTTTTTGCTAAATTAAGGTCAATAAGTAAAGTGTTTAAGTATTCGTTTACTTCAGCAAACAAAAACAAGAGTTAAAATACGAAGTATTATAGTCACGTGATACATCCCCTGCGTCAGGAAGTGGTCCGACGTGATAAACCGAACGGTCCGGCCGGAGGACAAGGAAGCGTGGAAGAAGAACCGAAGCTGCCGAAGCAACGTTCGCGGGAAGTCTAACCGCTTCAAGCACGTGGCAGAGTCGAGACCAGTTGAGCGGCCGGAATTTTACGAACGATTATGCAAGCGTACGTCTTGAGGACGACCATGAGCCACATATCATCTCAAATTTCTGCCCGTCAAGCCTTGTGACGAAACGGAATCGTAAGTTCTAGTCTCCACACGCGTTGTGCCCAGTCTAGTGACCATCTCCTTTAAGTTAAAAATTGCAGCTTTAAGCACAATATGTGGGAGTAACTCTCGGCGCTGGTTGTTTCAGGATCGCAGAGTGACGCGGAAACCCAGTGACAGTAAGCGGGTGCTAGTACCTCCGACGAGATGAGTGACTGCCCGGGAGGGCTGGAGGAAGCTTGTATGAGACAGGTAATTGTAATTTCATTTTCGCGCTTGCGAAGCAATTCATAAGACGTATTTTAAATTTGAGATTTTCTTTAGTTATGCCGCCACAAGTACAAGGAATTTCATTGATAGGGGTGCCGTGTGTTTGTTTTCATTTGCCCAGAAACTAGGTAAAGGTTATGTGTTTTAACATTTTTTCTGTGCTGATAGGCCTAAGGTTAGAATGAATTATATCTGTCAAGGCGTGGCGCAGTCTGTGTCTATTTGGAGAAGAGGTATGTGTGTGTGTGTGCGTGCGTGCGTGCGTGCGTGCGTGTTCGTTTGTTTGTTAGTTCGTTGGGGGAGAAAGAGGAGATGAAGAAGAGGAGGAGGGTGAGGGATCACGTCGAATCATTCAAATCGTTAACTCTGACAGTAATGAGGTAGGAAGGATACCTGCTAGTTACACCGGTTCGGTTTTGTGCCAAACTCAAATTGCGTTTTGCCGCGTAAATATTGCTACAATTTTTTCTTTCATTAACAAAATTAATTTTGAGGCATGCTGTTGACAAATAGGACCCCTGTTTTCAATCCCAGTCCAGGTTATTCGCGACTCCAGCGAACTATAGATGGCGCGCTGCTCAGGCAAAATTCGGACGAAAGAAGGTCGTTTTCGTTGTTCAGCATGCGGACCATCACAAATTCCTGCACTGCAGCGTGAGATCGGTGTTACATTTGAATGCAAAGCGATTTTTCGACCCTAGAAACGTTCGTCTACTCAGTGCGTAGGAAGGACCCGGTGGAATCATTAAAATAATTACTGAAAACAATGTTTGTTTCTATGCTGCCTACGAGAACCAAGCAGCGATAGCAGACGACAGAGTCGGGACAACCTCCTCTCCTGAGCTTCTCGGCGCTGCCGCTACGCGGCGTTGATTTCGCTGGAGTCACAAATATTGCGCTGGTAAATTTCCTGTACATAGTGCTGCTTCAAAGATGAACTGAAGTTTATGTCTTCTATGTGTGCATTGGTAATGGCATGTGGCTCAACAAGACTTCACACACGAAAGTTCTCAAATAGAAGAGGGAATCAATGTTCATCCGGTAAGGTTTGGTAATTATCTCTAGACGGTGGTTTAAAAGCGCAAAGGACTAAGAAGAGAAGAAGGGGACAGGACAGAGCGCTTACTTACAACTGTCAAATTTAATAGAGCATCTAGAATTTGACAGTTGTAAGTAAGCGCTCTGTCCTGTCCCCTTCTTCTCTTCTTAGTCCTTTGCGCTTTTAAACCACCGTCTAGATGTTCAACCAACTAGCCCCCCAACTAATTCTGAGGTAATTATCTCCGCCACAGATGGCCTCCTTGGCGAATTGTAACCGGCAGACCTTCAAACCGCACAAAGGCTAAGCAAAGCCACAACTGGATGCAGCAAGACTAAAAGCTTTATAATATACTGTAAGGACTATGGCTTTATAATAAGCCTTTTATAGCAAAACATACTGATCTGAAAAGTGTTGTTTGTGGTTATTTTAAAGTGGTATACGGAAACTTCGTCGTATTGTATTAATTCTGGTTCACTGCACAGTTAAAAGGTTTGTCTTCGTTTGCTGCCAGAGAAATATAGCTTGCGATGAACTAAATCAAAGTTATGACTGCTGGTGTCATGTACATATTCAGAACTTTTTTTTATTAAAGTAATTGTAATCAAGTGTTTTTATGGGTTTTAGCACTGTGATTAAGATATGTCAATGTGTTTTCTAAGAAAGACTACTAATTTGCAGTTTGTATCTTCTCCTAAAATATTTTGTAGATCTGAGCATGTATTCATACCTGAATATGTGCCAGGCATTCCCCAGTATGTGTATAATTGTTTACTAGGCCTGTAAGCTTCCCCACTACATCATTGCCGCTATGTTAGCGCATCCCAGCTATTATTCGAGAGAGATAAGTGTTTCTCATGATCAATTAGGTTGAGATTGTTTAGCGTTAATGTTTTTGAGTCCCCCATTTTTAATTCCTGACAGAGCGCTTCAATGTCCGTTTATTTTTGGTTTGCCGCTATTTATCACCACAAGCAAAAACATCACGCCACTGGGATTAACCTGAAGCTCACCTCATGATTAACGACGCTGCCGTCCACTGTCTTAAGGTGGGCCTACGTTCATGGGTACTTGTCTAGTGGTTCTGGAGTTGATGTTGCTGAGATAACCGAGACGCCGATTTCTACGATGGCCTCTGTCAGCATCATGGTCAATTACAGCTGGCCCGAGCCCGAACCAGGCCAATCAACGTGCTGGCCTGAACCAGGCCAATCAACGTGCTGGCCCGAGCCCGGCCCGGGCCCACAGTCAAAAGTCCGAGCCCATCCCAGGCCTGGGCTTTCGGGTAAGCCCAAGCCCGTGCCCAGTGGTATAATCTTTAATCCAATCGCCATATTGAGATAAAGACGTCAAAATTTCTCAGTTTAAATGTCGGAAGTGCCTCAATAAGAGCAGGTATATATATTAGTAGCAAATTTAATGATAAAAAAACTGCGCCGACTTTACTCAACAAGATTACCAATTTAATCAAGCGTTTCGTCTCCCATGCGGGGAACATCATCAGTGAAACCTTCAAGCAGGAATGAGCGAAAAAACTTCAACAATCTTATTTAAGCAAGTCCGCATAAACTTCGGGGGAGGGGGCCGCGGTTGGAGTTGCAAGCTGATGAGTCACTTCAGATGAACCATGATTCCACCAACCTTCGTGGACCCCACCTTTGTTCACACGCCAGAGTGGACGCATTCTCAAAGTCGAAACTGTGACCCGTATTCCAACAATGGTCTACGAGTTCCGTCTTCGCTATGTTTGTTTAGGCGAGTGCAGCGCTTCCAGCCTGTCTCCCCAATGTAGGATGTGTCACAGTCTAGACAGTTCACTTTATACACAACACCGCACTGGGACTCTGGGGGGGTGTAATCTTTAGGTTTAGAAATGAAGTCACATAGTTTATGGTGGGGTTTGAAAGCTGTGCGGATATTCAAAGGGGCGAGGGCCCTGCGAATGGACTCAAAAGCACCTCTCAAATAGGGTATTGTTGCTTGCCCTGTCCTAAGTTGTCCATTATCCTGACTTCTTTGTCCCATCTGTTTGTGCGTGTTATCAATAAAACGTTTAGGATAATTCCGCTTCATCAGCAGGTCAACAATAACAGCATCCTCAGAAGCGCGCAAGCCGCCTCGGTGGCTCCGAGGCGAGAGCGCTGGCCTACGGATCCCCATGTGGCGGAGGCTTATTGCGGAGCAGGCGCCGTGTAACCGAGCTTTCGGTTGCACGTCAAAAGATCCCCAGGTAGTCTAAATTAATCCTCAGTCCTCTGCTGGGGCGTGCCAGATGCCTGTCGTTGGTTTAGCACGTAAATCCCCCAAATTTGACTTTTTTCTCAGAAGCGCGCAATTGAGGATTAGAAGAAATGCGTTCGGACCGGTGTAGTAGGTTTTTTACGACAGCCCTTTTATGTTCGACAGAATGGTGCGAGTTAAAGCTTAAGAGGTTGCCTGTATCACAGCTTTGCGGTACACTGTCGTATATAAGCGACCGGTACTATTTCGGAACACATTAACATACAGAAAAGGCTTTGCACCGTTCTGTTCAACTTCATGTGTGAATTGGATTGATGATTCAATGTTGTTTAAAGCTAAATGAAAGTCACAAAAGGGACATGGCAAAGGCCACGCATGCGACAAGAGCGAAGACGGAACTCGTAGACCATTGTTGGAATACGGGACACAGTTTCGACTTTGAGAATGCGTCCACTCTGGCGCGTGAACAAAGGTGGGGTCCAAGCAGGTTCGTAGAATCATGGTTCATCCGAAATGACTCATCAGCTTGTAACTCCAGCTGCGGCCCCCTCGTCAATGTGTATGCGGACTTGCTTAAATAGGACTGTTGAAGTTTCTTTCGCTCATTCCTGCTTCAAGGTTTCACCGACGATGTTTCCCACATGGGAGACGAAACGTTTGATTAAATTGTTAATCTTGTTGAGTAAAGTCGGTGCAGTTTTTTGTATCATTATGATTCCCGGCTTTTGGAATATTTTTGCAGCACATTTAATGAAGAAATGGATGCTGATAAACACCTGCCAAGGTTGACTAAAAATAAACAGAAACATCCAATCAATAGTTATGATTGCACTAAGCGGTTGCTATGTGGATGTTTTTTTATGTTCGACAGCTCAGCAAAGTCTGCGGATCTGGTTATGCTTCCTGTACGAGACAGATCACGAAGCGGTTGCTGACTGACCAGTTGGGGCAAAAATTTTTGTGGGAAGGACGTAAGAGAAAGTTGACATTCAGGAACCTTCACCTTGCTGAGTGCATCATAAGTAAGCAATCTCTGGAACAGTAGTGTAAATCGCTTCACATGGAACCAGATTTATGGAATTGTTGGTGTCATACTTCTGTTGCTTTCTTTTATCAGATGCAGTGCAGAGCTGCCATAAATGTGAAGACTTCAAGGTAGAAACCATGGTCACGGATTAACTTGAAACCATGGTCACGGATTAACTTCGCCACGCACCTGCCTGACATCAGTCATCTCAAATGGTAAGCTGGTCTTATTAAGCTGATGTTAGCACAAAAATCAAACTTTTCTAGAACAGTAAGTATGGTGTGCAATTTCTTCAAAGCATAATTTCTATATGAGAGTATTTGAATGCTTTAAATATTAAAGCCAGTGACACCTTTTTTGGTTTAATTTGAGAGCAAATACTACAGGTGTGAACAGCATTGAATAGTTTTAAATAAAAAAATTTTGTTTGGAGTGTTTCTCTAAGAGGAAAAATTTCATTATGTAATAATACCTTATTATGGATTAAAAAGAATGCATAGACAACAAATTTTAAGAACACTGATATTTGATGTAAATCTAACAAACAAAAGTTGGCAATACAGTACACACATCCAGCATGAATGTGCTTTAAAAACAAGGCATAAAATACTTGTGATTTATTTACATCAGTTCCAATTCTTGCATATTTGAGTCATTTCACTTTGAACTTCACTGTTTTATTAGTTTTGTTTCAAAGAATGGTAAACCACTGCTCACATATCTTTAACGTAACATTTTTTCGTTGCTTTTCAGGAACATTCTGCAAAACAGGAGAGAGAGATGTGAACTGCCTTAAGTGGGCCTTGAATGCGCTGAGCTTTTTATTATGTTTATCAGACATTTTTTTTAAGCAAAGTATCCTGCATTGTTCAGTAAGTATACTTTATTTTGAAAACCTCATGCTGTCTATGCAGCATTGTTCAAAAATTATACTTTATTTTAAAAGCATCAAGCACTGCTCGTCTGTCTAACAGTAACAATAAAGAGTTAATGGCGATTTGTTTGGCACTGCAACTTTTTCTACAGAACGGATGTGCATGCCTGACAGGCTGGGCAGGAATTTAGTGCGCTACTCACGTTCAAAGTTACGCTGCAAGACTGCAGCGGCATCTTTTGCCATGCAGTCGGTGCTACAGCTCTCATGGAATTCTGGTGTCCTCGTCACTAGAGCATATGACTACTGAAGCCTTAGACTTCAGTAGTCAATTCCTCAGGGCCGTTCGTCATAGCTTATGACAATGTTTGTGTCCAGTATTTCAGTTCTCTCGCATGTGGCGAGGTCCACCTCACTAAAACGAGTCAGCATCAGTAGTGTCGCCTTCCTTGTCAGTGTCGTCTGCATTGATCCTGTGGTAAAGCTTCTGAGCTTGATGGTGAAAAAAAAACTTCAATATAAAGAATGTCTGCTGCGGGCCTGATTGCTACATTATACATCTGTAATGCGCCATTTGGGTATACATTGAGAGCATGCACGGGCCATACAGCAAATCTGCCCTCTGAGCTCTTGTTTTGTAAAGAATTGGACTCTTATCCGTTTAAATTTTTCTGTAGGACAGTTTACACGCTATATGCTAGCATAAAATGAAGGCTGCTTAGGCACTTCCTTGCCCTCCTGGCATAGGGCTGGTCCCTATACCAGGAAAGGTAATATTTCTGAGGTATGTACATGGTACATCCACAGGATCAGGCTGAACATCCTACAATGGTCCTGAATGTCCAGCTGCATCAACCAGATTGCGTTAGTGGTACGTTTTCTGAAGAACCATTTTGCACTGCACAGTAGATACTTTCAATGTTGGATGAATCGTAGCAGATATCCACTGGATATGTTAAATGTCCGAACAACACATCTCTCGGATGTTTAATAGACGGTTGCTGGTTGACTGGGTACCATCAAACCAATGTGCACCGGGGCACCTGTTGTCAATTACCGCTCATTGGTTTTCGCCCCCTAAACGCCATCAACCCAATGTGCACAGGGGTGCCTGTCGTCAATTGCCGCTTATTGGTTTTCGCCCCATAAATACCATCAATCCAATGGGCACGGGGGGCCTGTTGCCAATAGCCGCTCATTAGTTTTTGCCCCATAAATACCATCAACCCAATGTGCACAGGAGCACCGGTTGCCAATTGCTGCTCATTGGTTTTTGCCCCATAAATACCCTCAATGCAATGTGCACTGGGGTACCTGTTGCCAATTGCTGCTCATTGGTTTTTGTTTCATAAATGCAATCAGCCCAATGTGAATTCCCTAAAAGATTACCAATTCAGCCCAATGTGAATTTCCTAAAGGATTACCAATTGGTGCACATAGGTTTTTGTTTCATAAATGCATATTGCTCAATGTGTCTGGACCTACAGTTGCACATTGGTTCAATGTGAATTTTGGCCTCATTTCACATCGCCCATTTCCAGCAGGGTGAACACTTGGAATGGGAGAGCCTGACAGGTAGCATGCAGGAGGAACAGTGGAAGGGCTGTTGGAGACTCGCATTGCAGCACTTTTGTGGAAGCTAATTGAGAGGCAGTTTGTTCTTGCCCAGCAGGTCAATCTGGTCCAGGAGACTGGACACCCGGTGTGGAGGAGGGTATGTCTGCTGGGGCCAGAATGGTGGTGTCGTCTGCATACAGACACTTGCGATAAAGGCATGTCGTTCACATACAAGAGAAATAATGTGGGCCCCAGTACTGAGCCTTGGGGTACCCCTAAGGTGACAGCGAACTCATCAGAGGCCTTCCCATAAAACAATACACGGTGGGAGCGACTGACAAGAAAGCGGCTCAGCCAGAGCAGCAGGGCACAAATACCGGATTGTGCAACTTTCTGGAAGAGGATAGAGTGGAGGGAATCAAAGGCGTTGCAAAGGTCTAGTTAGGTTACTGTTAGGCTATCCATGTTATTGCTTATGTGGTGTACAATGGTAGCAAGAGCTGACACAGCTTCGATTGGGCCTAAAACCATGCTGGGAGGCAGAAAGGAGGCTGTTGTTGTTCAGAAAGCGAAGGAGGTGCTGGTTGATGGTGCGTTCAAAAGTGCGGCAGAGGATAGAAGTAATAAGCGCGAGACACATGCGCGAAAAAGCCATGCGATCCGATGTGCGAACCGCCGGAACGACGTCCGAGGGCGAGGGTTTTCGTCGCACCGGAGCGTCGGACGGGGCCTCCGTCCGGCGCCCGCATGCGTCCAACTTGCCAGATATCGCCGCACGCACGGTCCGATTTTCGGAAGGCCGCAGTGGCCGCAGCCAATGAGCACGGATGTCGAAGGTCATGTTGTCAAGTGACTTTCGGACCGATCGGGCGAGGAGGCGCAATGTGGTTCGGAGAAGTGGATGTGGCGGTGCGCGGTGCGTCACGCGCGGCGAGTCGTGGTTGTGAAGGAAACGGACGCCATCGAGTTTTCCCGCGCGCACAAAAAGAGCTGCTGATTTCGAGCGCCAAAGCAAGCCGGCCTTCTGGGACCGATCGAGCCCGTCGAAACCCGAATATACTCCGTTTCACCTTACGATGGACAGCAGCGGACGCTACGAGCCATTCCAATGTCATGCGAGCTTCGGGAGAGACGCAGTTATGTGCGCGGTACGTAGTCACGTGATTTTTACGTAGCGCTCGTTTCGCTGGGATGGCTCTAAGGTCCGCTGCTGCCCTTCGCGATTAAGTGATTCTGAGCAGAAAAATAGCCTCACGGAAAATCTTCACACACGCACACTTTAATAGAAGGTAATAAAAATATTATGTTTGTTTTAAAGCCAGAAAAACCAAGAAGGGCGAGGTAAGTATTTTAGTTTTCTAGGCTAGGTGGCGCGAGCTACCGCCCGTTATAACTATAGCCATTAGTATCCATCCACCCATTTGGTAGAGGGACACCCGAAACTGGGCGGAGCTGAACGGCTGAACGGAGCGACGCAACGACGCGTCGGAAACCATGTGTCGCGAACCGTCCTGTGCGGCGATTCGGAGCAGCCATCTTCCCGACAGTTCGCACGCCGGATCGGACAGTTTTGACGCGCATGTGGCTCGCGCTATAGAGATGGGCCTGTAGCTGGAAGGGTCGTTGAGAGGTTTCCCTTTACCCTAGTGAACTGGTGTCACAAGGGCCTTCTTCCAGGCGGAGGGCACATAGGAGTGGTCGAGAAAGGATTGGAAACGTGAGGGCAAGGAGAAAGATATGTAAGGGAATAGGGACTTGATGAAAGTAGGGACGAGCAAGTCAGGCCCAGCACAGTGGGAGGGCCGGATCAGTCGGGCAGCTTCATGCAGGTCGTCGAGAGATGAGCACAAATTTAGGCAGGGTGCAGGTTGGGAGGTGGAAGCTTCAATAGTCTGCACAAGAAGGTCGGGATCTGGAGTAGAGGAGCTGTGGCTGAAAGCAGAGGAGAACTGTGAAACGAAGAGTTGTGCTATGTCACTGGGGTCTCTGGAGAAACGGGGATGCTGTCGGCTAGACTGCAGCCCATTGAAATACTGCCAGAACAGCTTAGGGCCCTTCTTTGCCTTCATATAGGTGGTGTGGGTGTAAGCACGAGAGATGGCAGACTTGATTGAGCGCTGCAAGTCCTTAGCCCTCTGAAGTGAAATCTGGCACTGTGTACGAGCAGCACAGGTGAAGAGGGCTCGTTTCCGGCCAGCCATTTTCCTGATTTCAAGGGTGATCCAAGGGGACCTCTTCCTTCGCGTGGAGCTATGTGAGCTAGGGTGCCTACATGTTTCCGCCGCTCCGCTGTTTAGGGTGGCGACAACGTTTGTGGAACCTGTTGCCAACAAACCAGTGTTGCCTACCTTGTTACCATGGCAACCTCCACTGTTTTCGTCATCCATTTTGTCACACTCGCCGGTCGTGCGCGCGGACTACGCTGCGACTCCTCGTTAGGGCTGGGGAGCGCTCACCGCTCTCGTTCCGACGGCAAGGTTTCGGCGTTCAATGCCGGTCTGTGGCGTTCCATTTTGTCGCGGGAACTCGCGTTTCAATAAAAGCAACGCACACTTCCTGCTCGCAACTTCAAAGTATGAAACACCCGAATAAAGAGAGCGACAGCCACGAATAATGCCATCCCGCTGAGCCTCCGACTCCTCTTATGAATGGAAACGGAAGTGGCCTCACAGTGTTGCCGGTGTGTCGAGACTACAGAAACTCATTGTTGTTTTTTGTTTAGCGAACTAAAGCGGGAAAAAATGGCGGTAGGAGAGGATCTGGGAAAGGGTAACAAGAAGTTGGCGCCACCCTAAAGCGGAGTGGAAACATGTAGGCACCCTAATGTGAGCATGGTATGCATTCTTTCTGGATGCCGCCAACTAAGTCACACAAGAGTTCGTAGTTGTCAGCGCAGTCGTCTCCCGTGGTAAGACACCAGGGTGCAAGATGCGCTAACTTAGCCATATGGGCATGGTCGGTCTGTTAAAAGTTCCACTGAGTCCGCGCGAACCGGCTTTTCCGAGGGAGACTAGTGGTATCAATATGGGACCAGTCAATATGGGAGTTGAAGTCGCCAAGGAGGACGACATCTTTGTAGCACTCAAATCTCACACGAGAGAGTGAGGCGTCCATGAGTGAGTAAGATTCTTTGCAGCGGTTGGGCGGGCAGTACACACAAGCAAGCAGAACAGTCCGACGCGGAAGAAACACCCCCACAAAGACAGCTTCGAGGGCTGAGGACTCAAGATTCTCCCTGTGATTAATGCAAAGACTGGACGGTGTTGCGATGAGGACACCGCCACCCCTCCCGTGTCTGTCCTTTCGGAACACAGTGTACGAGGGATTGAAGAGCTTGCTGTCGTGGACCCTGGAATCGAGCCAGGTTTCGGTTAGGAGGATGACGGCAGGATGTGCGAGTAACACGACAGTGGCTTGGAGGTCGAAAATCTTGGTTTTGACACTACAGCAGTTAGTGTACCATAGCATACATTTCGACGGGCAGCTTCATGCAGGTCGTCGAGAGACAAGCACAGATTTGGAAGGCAGGGTACAGGTTGGGAGGTGGGAGCTTCAATAGTCTGCGCAAGAAGGTTGCGATCTGGAGTAGAGGAGTTGTGGCTAAAAGCAGAGAACTGTGAAGCGAAGAGTTGTGCTATGTCCCTGGGGCACGTGATGGGGTGGTGGTCTCTGGAGAAACGGACGCTGTCCCACGCGGGAGGAAAATCGTCATCCCCAACTCTCAGACAATTCTGAGAGTTAAACTCTCGCAGCCGCTCGCCTTTCTGTCTTTGCCTCGCAAGCCACTTGAGGTAACATTACTCTTGCAAATAAAGATTATTATTATTATTATTATTATTACTACTCTTTGCTAAAACATCATTTGATCAAGTGAGTGCCTCCCCTCATGCAGCTTATTATACACAAAAAAGCTAATTTCAGCTGTCAATGAAACAATTTGTTGATGAAACAATCTGCCGATGAACTGATTGCTACCAGTTGCGATGACGTAGCAGTGATTTCCAGCTAAGTGCAGCGGTGCAGAAATGCGTGGTGTGTCTACGTGTCTCTGCACTGCTGCTTTACCACTGTTGGGACAGAGCGGTTGTCCGGTACTTGGAGTACGGCAAGGAGCTGAGCCAGGGCAGGACCTCATCAGGAAACGGGAATCGGGAAGGACCAGGGAGCAGGAGGGGTGTCTCGTAAAACTCTGTTTATTTACATATCAACAGGTTCAACTTGAGAGCAGACTCTCGCAGCCGCTTGCTGCTCATTTTTAAAGACTTCACATCGTCTTCCCTCGCTCTCGGAAAATGGTCATCCCCAACTCCCAGCCAATGCTGGCTGGACACAAGTTGATCATTCAGACCCCACCCTTGTCTTCCCCCACCACGCAGACGTTCGGAAAGGGGCTTGCATACGACTCTTTGTCCCGTTGGCGTCAACGTCCTAGACTTGTAAACACTGGCGCCGGTCATCTTCAAACCGAAAAATAGGGTCGTCTGGAGCCACGAGGTAATCCTTCGTTGAATGCCCCATCGTCCCTTTGTATGAAGGCACATTGGCTAAAGCGCCCCCACGCTTTGCTTCCAGGCAAAGCTCGCCAGAACCACCTGGTGACAACGCTCAAGTATGTGCACCTGCGGCGGTCAGACTGGACAGGCGAATATTGTCTTTTGGGGCTTTTCACAACACCTCCGAACCCTTGGAGGTAGGAAGCTTCTGGAGTCGACATGACGCCACAATTGAGAGCTCTCCTCTTCATTTAATAGCGTCTCTTGGTTTGGTCATCGTTGAGGGCACGTCCATCCACACTTCTGGCTTTACCTCTGCTGGCATCATGTCGCCTCCATAAGCTTCTTACCTCCATGGCTCCATCCAACTGCAGTGGTCATGGGATATACCCTCTCAGCATTTTATTGGCTACGGTCACGTGTAGCTTCTGGTGCAGTCTGTGTAGAGGTGAACTCCTTTAGAAGTGTATAGCAGAAACTACAAGAGCAAACTCTAGGCTTGTTTCCAGGCTTTCTGCGTCCCTACCAAGCATGCGCATTTATACGGTGCAAGCGTCATTCAGGGCAGCATTTTTGTGCTCATCCACCTTTTCGTTGGCTCGTTGCCCCCCACCCTTTCCACTTTAGCAGCGAACACTGAGGCAGAGGCGAATGGAGAGGAGGAAGCCACCATCATAGTGAACACAGAGCTTTGTGGGAGGGGCTTGTCAATGATTTGACATGCCTGTCAATTGCAACAAGAGAACATATAAAATTCTTCTTTGAAGAATGATCCTGCTACGTGCCAGATTTCCCTGCATTACATCCAGAAATTAGCCACTAGGTGGAAGGAGTCCCCATGCATGTCTATAATTAGAAAACTGTTGCTTCAATCAACACACACACACACACAATCCACCACTTTAAAAATAACTGGCAAAACCTGGTAGAAAATTGGGTCTGAAGATTCAACAAATGAAACAATGTGCAGATGAGGAAGGAAAGTGAAGAAGCGTCTTAGGAGCTTGGGGGCAAAAAGATAGACCATAATAGACCCTTTTTTGAAATTCAGTGCCATCTGGTGGCTGAAATAGCAGTTTACCTTTTTGCCGTACTAATGGCGGTAATCGACTTGCAATCTGTAGTATTTTGCTGGGCACCATCGCTTTCGCTAGTCAAAAGCGTACGAGAGCGTTCTTTCTTTACCTTACAATCCTTTTCTGGATCTCTCAATTTCATTGGCGAGATATACAGAAGCAGTAAGAACGAAGCACAAACCCAGAGTGATGAACCCCCTTAACTATCCATTCTCAAGCCTTTCTAAACTAACAGTAAATAACCAACCCATTTGTTAGTTCTTTGGTAACTCGTAACACCTATTCATTGTGGCTCTGGAGACATGGGTATGCTAAAATGGCAAGAAAGAACAAGGGCAATAGGGTCAAAGGTTCAACTTTTTATTTGTGGTTTTTGTAAAACGACCCTAAACGAAGGCAAGACAGTCCAATGCAGAGTGCACACAACCATAGACGGCATCCTTGTGACCAAGGGGACCGACATCCAACACTCCGACGACATGGTAAAGCGGTTACAGTCAACCGAGGAAACAAAAATAACTATACATATACATATATGTACTCAAAGTAAACAAATGCAACCCAAGCTGCCAAAAAGAAAAAAAAGATGTCTAGAGCTATGCTCGTGAAGGATAAATAAACAAGCCTCTTTTCAAAAGGGGTGCAGTTGTCCATTCCCCATAACTGCCCCCAAAGCCCAGGCCATTTGCAGGTTCAGAACTGGAAAATATTTTTGCCACTTCCTGAGGTTTTGTTTCTTCCTGCAACTACTGCACAGACATTAGAAGTGCAGAACTCCACAACAGGCAGCTCAGTCATGTTTGAAACGCAATGCCGAGTGGTGAAATCCAAATCATAAATGTTCTCATCATTCGTTTGCAAATCAAACAAGGGAACGATCGGCGAGCCCTTAGCAAGGGATATGCTACATTTAATCAATAATGTTCCATTCCCTTGAATAGTTTTCTAGTTGAGACCTGAGCACTGGACTTTATCTCATATTGCCACTTGTGTGCTGAAACCCCCAAAACGATATTGCACAGCCAAGGGTCAAATCACTTGTTTTGATTGTTGAAATTGCACAAATCTAGATACAGAGGGAACACCAGTCCTTGGCAATGTTGCCTAAACAGTCTCAAATCCAAACCCTATGGCCACAATCATTTGTCAACTATGTACAAAAACCTTCATTAACAATTTTTAGAAGATTTCTCTATAAGGGAGCATCTATAGAAACATTACAATCTCATTCTTAAGAAAACACTTGCCACCTTTTGACAGGAGTTTTATCAGGACGTCAGGCAATATGACAACAGCTAAACACTTTGCACCTTTCTTTTACGGCACAGCGAAGCGTCAGCTTTATGCATAAGCCCAAAAGAGAAATAAAGAATTCCATAAAAGCTCTTCAACACAACTATCATTGTTCACAGCAATCAGAACAACCCTTTCTCCCACAAATGCAGTAGAGGGACCAAAACAAAATTGCAAAAGCAGTAAATCATCACTACAAAGGCTGCACAATTTTCGTAGACATCCTATTGTTATGTTCCGACACAAAAGAAAACTGCCACATTAACGAAACCAGCTCGGGACAGACTCGTTTAAGGACCGCAATCAGCACGTGCACCAAGCTCTACCTTATTTATAAACATTCTACATGCAAGCTCCGCGGGCAGTCTCGTAGAAACATAGAAAAACAGCCAACCACGAGCTAGTATACATCACGAGACTGACTGTGCTTGCAAAGGGAAAACTTTGAGTATGTAAGAACAATGAGGTTGCCAAAAACCGTGCGGGGGAGAAAAGAAAAAGCAGGCAAGAAAAAAAGTCGAATGCTCCGCAGATTTGATCCTCGCACAATATGGCAGTGGTATAGGATGCCCCGCCCGCCATCCCCTCCTCCCCTGCCAAACTTCCACGTCAGCAAGCTTGCCTCCTTTTGTACAAAAGTGACCTCCTGAGCTGATCCTGTCACTAGATCGTGCTGCCCGTCGACATAAAGACACCACTCGATCTGCTGCCACCCTGGACACGCCGATGATGCCACGCATCTTCCAGTATCGCTGACAAAGTGTCACTGTAATGGGCTAATGCAGTTAAAACAAAATGAACCTCATGGTTAAGAGAATGTTATTTGAGGCCGAGCAAAACGAGCAATTTTAGACCAGTCGTTGCCCTTCTGTGTAAAAGTTAAAGATTGAGAGCTCGTTTTAGACATATTCCACAGCGTGGGCCTGCCATCGGAAAATATCCTTGCTGAGCACGGCTGGTCTGACCAGGTTTTGCCAACATGAGCTTAGAAATTGTTTTAAATGAAACACATAAAACATCTGCCTCTAGTATTTAAAAAAAAATGTAAATGTTTTTATGTAGCTTCTGTACACTCAGTAGAGCAAAATTTTATCTTTTCCATTTTATGCTCCGAAGGCAACCAAGGAAAAAAACGCACACGCATACAGACACCACTTTAAATATATGGGCTCCAGGAAATTATTTTTTCACAGGGATGAAAATGAAGGCCTCCAACTTGCCACAAAGCTACTATCTTTGAACGCTGTCGGTGAAACAGAGAGTCAATATGGCATGAATGCAGAGCAGTCACGCTGCACCCTTGAAAAATCCGTGCCTCAATTAACGTATGCCACATACAACCGTGTGTCAATCAATAGAGTATGTCTATATATTTGTATTTATACAGCAAGGGGCTTTCACAACCTCCATTCACAGCAAGCAGGACAGAACAAACCCAGATAACTCAGAATATCCAAGTGGTGTTGGCCCTAATTCGCCCTTTGACTTCTTCGAACATCATGGTGTTAATTTCAGTTTAGAAAACTTTCTATACACCGCGACAACTTTTCTTGGCAATGCAGTGGAAGGTACGTCCCGCGTCCCCTCTCCCATTTTGAGTGTACGCAGGCTCTCCTCCTCCCCCATTTCCGGAGAGAGGAGAAGAGCGCGCGCACACTCAAAATGGGAGAGGGGACGCGGTCCTGTACCTTCACTGCATTGCCAAGAAAAGTTGTCGCGGAGTATAATACTTCTTAACTCAGTCTTCTATCAAGTGCAAAGATGCAAATCTGGTTCAGTATATTTAAAAGTCTAAGTGAAGTTGTTTCATTCTTTTTGCTTTCCTACAACGACCATTTCACTTGCATTGTAGGTATACTAACTGAAATCTACAGGGACATAATGCCTTTCCAGTTAAGCAAACAAAACACCATAGACAGCAGCTGTTGTCGGTAAGTGCAAAATTAACTGCCACAAATCTGCAAAACTGGCAAAGGGCAATGTAATATCCTGGCCAATATGAGCTACAATGAAATATATTGTGCCACATGGTATTATTAGTGCCATCAGCCAGATGCCCCGGAAAGCCTGATGCACGCTGAAGGCATGCCCTGCTCTCGTTGCGCCACACTCCTCACTTAGATTACCAGCCCACTCGGTTTGGACACGACAGCGGTGTGGTTAATGTGTCTCCACTGGCAAGTCATTAATTAAGCCAGTGTTTTACTTTCTGCAATTGGTGCAAATCAGAGTAGGTAAGTTGATTGAACATGGTGACTATACTAAAGGTGCCCAGTCCTTCCAATAAGCTTCTGTTAGTATTCGAGCCTCATAAAATAATGCATGGCTCGGTAAAAGCAGAGACGAAAGCAGAAAGAAAGGGTTGGCTTTTTTAAACCTGCACATTCTCCCTTGAAGTTAAGACCCACAAAACAGCAAGACAACAGAAGAACACAGAATGAGTATCTAAAAGAAAAAGAGCTCTGGGTGGCACAAATTTACTTGGAGCCAACAACAACAAAGAAAAAAACAGTGCCTGGAAACTAAATGCAAAAAGGCATGATCTTGAGCTATGGTAAAAAAATAGCTACCTTGAAGGAACCTATGAAACACTTGCGACCATTCCTCGACACTCTTTTCTTGTTACTACTAAATGAGGTTATAAACGAAACCAAACTCTGGACAGAAAAAAGGGAGACCAGTCTTAAACAACATAGAACTGTGGCAGGACATTTCCCAAAACAAAACCAATAAACAGTCTGGCATTTCTTTACAGCACATTTAGTCGCACAGAGTATTTCCCTTTATGAAATGTGATTGGATGACAGTGTACCGAACATACAGAATGGATCAACAATACAAATAAACCCAAAGAGGCTCAATAAAAATATTGTTAAAAGTCATCATAAAAGTCAAGACATAAACAGCTAGATAGAATTCCAAATGTCTTGGCACCACAACTAGCCATGAAAGAACTGCCTCTCTTCATATGCCAATAAAAGAACTTAAAAAGGGATAAAAGAATCAACCACAATCATTACTACTAAAGAGAGGCAACAATACAACCCACCCAAAAGATCCCTCCAGTCCCAATAAGCACAACAGGAATTTACTAGCATTGGGCATCATTGTTTAGCGTAATCAACGTGATTATCTTTTAACATGACCTTTCTACTAGTGGCCAGAACTATGCCCGCTCATAATCAAGCACCACAAACAGTCAATCAGCCAAGCAGGCAACAACACTCGAGGAATAGATATCGAAGGGACGGTCATTGGTTGCTTTTACCTTTTTTTCTTTACGCTGGTTTTCCTCGCAGACTGTGCCTTTATTCGTCGACAATGGGAGAAAGGTACCACATTGATCTCCCTGACGTTTCCGAGGCACCACCAACCGTTCATCCACAACTCACAAACAAGATCACTCCAGATGTACTTAATAGTTTGTGTTCTGTGACTTCGAGTTTGCAAGGGGGCTGGTAAATAATCATTTCTCACAAGTTACGATGAAAGTAAGCCTCGAAATTAATATCTTGTGTGCAGAGTTGTTAGTGATTTGTTTTTCTGTCTCTAAAGGTATGGGCAACCTAGTCACGTATGCTATTTAAATCGGTCCTCCCCGCCTCCTCACAGAATTCTACTGTGTCTGAACGAAGCAGCTTTCAACAAGAAGTCAATGGAGGTCTCCAATTTTGGTATGAAGAACAGCATTTGCAAATGTAATTCGAAACAATTAGTCATGTGCAAATGGTGGGTTTTCAGTTCAAAGCGAATAGTGGTTTTGCTGAATATTTTCTAATCGAATATCAAATAATTTTTCCAAGTCTTTCACTACCGTGCACCATGCTTAAACGAAAATTCAGCTGAGCTCGTGATCGTGGAGGCTGTTCCCAACCTTCCACTCATCCACTTCTAAGCTCGGTTAATTTCAGCATAGCTATATATATTAACTTGGGCATGTAAGCAACAGAACTGTTGCAGCTTATCCTAATCGAGCGGGTTTATAAATCTGCTTGCTATACCCAAATATTCTTTCTCCAAATTCAGATTGGGAAAAAAAATAAACACGAATGATGAGTGCAGGTTCTCAAGACATCACTGCCTAAGATATACATGGCTTGCAATGACTTCAAATCGCATAGTTTTGGCCACCATAAAAGAGAGAGAGAGCTGCTTTTGTAGAAATTTTAAGTGACGGGTTAATCTTCTATAATCTTCTGGGGGACAAATAGCGATTTCCGGGCAAATCGGGGATACACAAAAGAGGGTCATGGTAAGAAGGGAGCCCCTTCTTCCCCTCTTCTCTGGTGGCTATCGGAGCACTCTTTGGATGACGTCACATGCAAACCATGTATACTCTCACATAATCGAGGCGGTATAGCTCCGTTGAGTGCGCTTCTCACTGAGCCGATGTGCACTGCTAGAAAGCAATACCCGCGCTTCCCCACAGCGCACAGATGCTCGGTGTGAAGTGCACTCAAACGGGCTAACTTGCCGCGATCGACACTTCAAAAAGTAAGAATATCGCAGTTAATCTTGAAGCGAATATCGAATAACATATTAATCGAAACTACTATTAGAAAATTCTTTGCACCGCACGAGAAACTATTGTATCACGCTTGATTTCTGTTTGTAAAGTGCTACACCCAGCTCACATAATACATGCCAAGAATGTGAAGTATCGAGTTCAACCACAGACACTCAGCTTGCATTGGCACACCCAGCAAAGTATAAAGCTAACCTAGCCGACTCTCGCAGAGAAAGTGCTTGGGTTGGTCCTCCCAACGACAAAGGAAGAACCAATCACAATGTTGTCAGGGCCACATGTGTCAATTAAATATCTAGATTGTGCATTGAACACAAACTACTTCCTTCTCAAACCTGATGTGTACTTTGAGCAAAGGGTAACATTTTATGAAGATGAAAGGGGTGGCAAACAAACTGCCCCTCTACTCCCTGTAAAAGTCAAAGTCAGGTAAGGTGCGTTCATTTTATACGAGGCAAGTGAACACTGGCTGCACATTTCCTGTGGCTGTGATGAAAACCGAAATAAAGACCGAGATAGGAGTCTCGCATGCACGTGAAAAACTCTACCAAGCTCAAAACCACCTCTGTGACAATACGGAAGCCAGTTTTGTTGGATGCTCAACCATACCCCCTGGGATGCGTAGGCCACACAAACCCAAGGCCAAAAGTCTGTCACTAGTGAGCAGGAAAAAAGCTGCCAAAGGGCCATAGCATCACTTGCAATCACATGAAACATAGCGTGGGAACAGTAAACAGCTACCCAGGTTCGGTCGGTGCTAAGCCAGAACTGCACCCATTAGAGTGTCAGCTTTGAGAAGAAAAAACGCAAATGAACGGTGGATTGGCTCTTCAATTAAGAATTTTCTCTAGGGCGAGTCAATGTGCTCAAAAAAAGTGGCAGGGGTCTGCGAGGAAGTGTGGGTACCGTCGCTCTTCCTCACCACCCCCTGAACTCTTCCTTTAGCAGCGATGGGAGCAACATGGCCTGAACATGGCTAAAAGCCCTAAAGTTACTTTGGACACATCAAACACACATCATGGAGCCTGCAGCAAAAGGTGGAATGGAAACAGGCAATTGCTGGCGGACATCTCAAATAGTAAAATTAATACAACATCCTTACTTCCGGTACCCCTTCCCACAACTGTCCCAAGGTTCCCACTTCAAAATCTAGGTTTTCACCCTAAGATCCTGGTAGTCTCAAGAAGGTAACTAGTACTTTAAGACCTATAAAATGCATGATTTCGCTTCATTTCTGGCAAACATCTATACTTGTTTCCAATCCATAAACATTCAAGAAATGCCTGGTCTTGCATCTTTCACAAATAGCATCAGAACCAAATCTCATGTTTTTATCCTATTACATATTTAACCAATTGCCTACGTCCAAAAGGAAGTCACCCCAAGACTCAACAACCCCGCATACCAATTGCACCTCCGCACATTCCCTAAGAAGCACCGCCGAAATAATTATCGGCGAGCAGATTTCCCAATACTTTACGGAGAGCAACGGTCGCAGCAGACGATGGCCGACGCGTCCGGAAGAAGCAGACGATGCAGAAAGATGTCCCCCGTCGCGATCCCGACGTCGCGAACTTGAGGAGGAGCTATCCGGGTGGGCGACAACAACGACGAGGCTTTTTCTCGGTTCACACGGCGTGCCACGGAGCCCCAAGTCGCGTGGCCGCAATCAGCGCGAAGTCACGTGACCATGATCCGCGTGAAGTCGCGCGACCACCCCACGGGGTGGTTGCGCGGCCAAGCGAGTTTGTCCGTCGTTTCGACAGCCGACCACCTCGGACGCTACGCCTTGGAGTCCGCGCCGCCGTCGTGGGGCACAGTTCGCTCTCGGTAGTAGATCTCCTCCGTTTCCTTGTCACACAGGAGGAGCAAGATGGCGCCGAAGAGGAAGATGGCAGCCCCCCAGCCCACGCCATAGGCCCAGCCAAACTCCCACAGCTGCCGGTTGCTCTCCTCTATCTCGGCCGCAAAGCAGGCCGGGTAGATCACCAGGGCTATCAGGATGCACAGCACTGCACAAGGGCACGTGTTGCCGCAGGGGAAAGGCAAGGGGCCGAGGCAGGTCCACGGTGACGATGACACACCCAGAAAGAGGCAGGCGGGAGACAAGCAACAGTCAGAAAAAAAGCGTAAGGTGCTTTCGCAGTAGTTTAAAAAAACAATGTTACCAGGTGCATTTACTTTTAATGAACAGCAATGAGTGGCACAACATCTTCTTAGGATAATTTCTTGTTGACTAGATTATCCACTAAATAAGACTTGCGACACTGTTGGGGACTGAAGGCCGTACTGTAAAATACCGGGCAAGCGCCCACTCAAAACTGAGAGATAATCGCGGAAAAACGTTGGGCATTTGTTGGGTCATCAATTTTACGTATAAATGTACTGAGCATATTTCCTCACATCTTACAAATTTGGGAATGGGCGCTTATTGTGGTATGGGCGGATGCACGATATTCTATGGATAGGTCATGAAACGGGAGCCTGAACTGTAAGGTCTTTATACCTTCCACAATACTGTGCAGCAAGAAATTCATTAGTCGATGGGAAAATGCATCAGGGTGATGCTTAAGGTTAGAGCATACCCCAAGGCAATAAACATTTTTTAGTATCTAACTGCAGTTGCTGTGCATGCCAGTTTGCTTGCCCTTTTTTTTCTTTTCAGCTTTCCAATGTTCAACAGGCAGACTGCAGAAATTGCTATGTCTCAGCAGAAGAAATATGGCTTTCAAACAGCATTTCAGTAAACTTTCAGGGAAACTATTGATACTCTTTTTGAAGGGCAACACGCGACCTAGCTTTCTGCAGTGAAAGTAATTCTCTGCGCATACTCCTCAGTTAAAATGCAAGGGGAGGGAAGAAAAGAGACTTGGAAGAGAGAAGGCTCCACATGCTCCCTGGTGACGGCCAAGGAGATTAATGAAACACTAACAAACCCCCCAAATTGTTCTTTTCTTTTTTTTTTTTTTCCAGGTGATTTAATATGGTGTTAGGAGATTACTGAATCAATATTTTGCTATACAGTCATGTATATATTTATAAAGTAAAAAAATTCAAGTGCTCGAAACCGAAATTGAAACACAAGCACGGAAGCTCAGGGTGAAAAATGACGCAGCTACACCCAACCACATTTGTTTTTTTGCGACTGTTTGGTGTGTGAAGCAGATGATGAAGTTGCATGAACCATTTGCTGTGCACTTGTTTTTCACTTATGTGTTTTGCACTTAAAGATAGGTTCATCGGTACCACGAACGACAGTTCCGAAGTAGCGGCCCCACGTCCGTCGCAGTGTCGGTCCCATCGTGTGCCACCATCGCGTCGTCCAGCTTGTGGTAAGTCGCCACATTGAAAATGATGTGTACATGTACTTCCTATGATCTGTGCAAAAATTTTTTTTTTAAATGTATTTACAGTTTTTTGGTGGAGGCCACAAAAATGTGGTTCATATTCTTTTCCATTTTTATTATTGAATTTGTGTCTTAGATGACCCAAGACTTTGAATATAATTGGCACACATAATTTGAACATCACATGACCATAAAAAAGAAAGTGAGAGCGACTGAAACTGGCCGATTCTCGACCGACTGTTTTCGGGCCGAAAGAAAACAAATTTCGGGCCGCAAATTACGTTCTGGGTAGTTGGGCTCTTTTAGGTCATGTGTTAATAAAAACCTCGGCAGAATAAATACCCTGTCAGTGTCCCTTTAAACTCTTGAGAGGGAGCATGTAAAGAGAATATGGGAGAGGAGAATGCAGGCAAAAGCATGAAGGATATGTCGGCCTTGAAAGCACACAACTTCTCAGAAAAACAGATCTTGTGCCGAAGTTACCAGAAATCTGCACCACACAACGAGCATGCACACCTGCTGTCAGGACTGAAACCAAACGAAATCACACCTTTGTGAACCAAATTTACGCTTAATCTGTACACCCATCTAATTTCAGGAACAACCATAGTCAATGCCTCGTAAATCTAACTCATTGATAGATTAAGTGAAAACACCTATTTTGCATAAAAATGAGCATCTTTGTGCATGGGCCTTGAGAAGAGAGAATGGTGTGTGTGTGGGGGGTTGTAAAGTGGGGTGGATAGCTACGGCACTACTAGATGAATGTATAAATCTTGGACTTCTCGATGAACTCCACCAGGCAATTCAGGATCTCCTTTCGATGTTGTTCTTTGCCTCTCAGGCTCATCCGCCTCAAAAATACCAAATATTTAGTTATCCGAACAGCTTGCGCAAAAGACGCAAGTGCCTTGAATAAAAAGGACATGTCCAATGACGACCTCCTTAGAAGCATTCGCACTCATCTCATGTCTGAACACGAGCTGCACTACCCGGAAGAGGGGGGCAGGAGTACTCACACGCGCAGACCATGACGTAGAAGGCCAGCCTGTACATGAGGTACTTGCGGACCGGGTTCTTGCTGCACAGGCCGCACCCCGTCATCACTGTGGCCGCTATGTCGCACAGCAACGTGATCACGCACAGCGCCGCCGCCGCTTGGATGTATGCTGCAGCAGACGAGAAAGAAAATCAAAGTTGCTCGCAGAGAGGTGCAGAACATTTCAACAATCACCTTCTGCAAGCTGCCATCCAGGGTGTCTAGCAGATTATTATTTTGAAGTTCCCTGACTTTTCCAGATTTTCCCTGACAATTTCAGGTAAAATTCCCTGACCACTGTAGAGTCGGTTAAATATATAAGACCATTACAACACAAGGTATTAAGCATTGAGCACTGTAAGGATCATTTTGCACACACTTAATACAACTTGCATATTCCGAAATATTAGGGTTCGTCCAGTCCGGATTAAACAAGCACTTTCTTGCCGCCGACATCGTCAGTGAAGAGGCCACTTCTGGAAACATGATGAAAACACGACACTCAACCACAAACGTCAATAACCGAATGGCAGCACGGCTGCCAGATGCACACCTTCGGATACTTTCGGCTTAAGGCTTGGATTGGATTGGGGTCTATGGCTTTTCCATGTGTTACTAAATCTAGTAGCTCAAACTGGATTTAGCCTAGTGTCGCGTCCTCAATCCAGTCCAATGCTTGGACTGGATTTGTCGGCTGTTCCCTTTGCATCGGGTAGCACACTCTACGTCAGGTGAGCAGAGCCTGCATTCCGCTCTACGCAGAATTGATTGCCTATTTTTCTGTCCCTAAGTCCTCAAGTCTTTGCTCAGGGCACTCGATGACATTTCCGGCTCATTTTCCCTGATTGGGCTCGCTTTTTAACAATATCCCTGACAATTCACTGATTTTTCCAGGTAATAAAAAATTCCCTGACAATTCCCAATTTTCCCGGTCGTTAGACGCCCTGGCCATCTTTGTCTGCTGGGATGTGGAACATGTTCTGAGCATGTGCAGTAGCTCTCGTCTGCAGTGACTCGGCCCTTTTTGCCCTGTCGATAAGCTCTGCAAAAAAACCCAGACAGAAGTAGTCTGCCTTTTAATGGCATCTGGTGTCTCGTTGCAGATGAACAATGTAGCCACTGCAGTATATCTGCTAGCCTGGGCTCTAACGTGCATCATGTGTAGGGTCCTTCGTTTTCTGGTTTAATTTTTATTACGTCCATAACATCATTTCCGAAACAGGGGAAACCCACTGAAGACTTTGGGAGCTTCGAACCCCTAAACTAGAGTAGACAAAAGAGCAAGGGCAATCTTAAATGAGGACACACGGAGGACAATGGGGACACACACATCGAACATAAAACTTAGCGGACGTTAAAATAGTTGTTGATATAAATAAAATCTGAGAACGAAGGACCCTAATCATGTGGTAGTGTAAGCGAGCGCCATTCTGTACTGGCTCTTTTATTTTATTTCGCCGAGCGCATTCCAAGCAGGCGCCATTGTGTTTTGCCTTTTTCTTTTATTTCGCTGGGCGCAAGGTTCAGTTCTCAGAAGATCGTGACTTATTTGAACTCCTCGGCGCCGGGAGTCTCGCACGTGGATGTCCGTGCCATGAAGGCGCGACTGGCTGGCGTCGGGCAGGATGCGGATCGGGTTACAGCCTTGGGCGAGACCAAGCTGCTCAAGAAAACTATGCGGCAGTCTAACAGCGGGACTCAAAGCGAGAGTGTGTGTGCGATGGTGGTACGCGACCACCAATAGTGTCCGTCTTGTAAACTCAAATTGTATCAAGAATATTAAATCCAGTGTTTCTTTAATTCCAAAAACCCATTCGTCAAGACCTCGTTTATTATCAAGAAGTTATTTTATTTGAAACGACCATACGATTACATATCAGAAGTGGGATTATCAACCAACTCCTCGGAACGAAGAGCGGACCGAAGAGTGACACAAGCAATCAAGTGCGTCAGGCATCCAATCCCGTGGACCCTGGATCGACGAGTCAAGTGCGATCAGAGTCAGGTTGGAGCGACCCACAGTGTGACAGGTGGGCGACGTGTGTGTGAGTGCCTGCGATTGGGGACTTCCCACTGTGCGGAACTCAAGGTTCAGGTACTGTCGGATTTTTCATCTCCCTGTGGAACTCTTTATCAACAGAGTTTTCATTTTGCGTATGAGATGTAGTGTATTATGTTGTGGCTTTATATTGTTTGTGCGAGCGTGTGTGTTGGGTGTAATTACATGTACACAGCTCAACGCTTCACCATGAACCAGGAAACGTCGGGAGCGTCTCCGAGCCAGGCGGGTTCGCCTGAAGTTGCTCACTCCATGGGGGACGGGTTTTCTTTGCACGAGCTTTTGGGAATGATTCGAGAAAAGGATCGTTTGTTAACGGACCTCTTGGGACGACTTGCCCTTCCGGCGCAGTCAGGCACAGCAGACGTGAGCGGCGTGGCGACTTTCCAGGTGATGCCTGACCTCAGTAAGAACATATCCAATTTCGACGGAGGCGAGGACGCAGCAGCAGCGCGAGACTGGATTGAGAACCTAAAGAGGACGGCGACTCTTCATAAGTGGCCGACACCTTTCCTCCTGGAAACGGCAAAATCACATCTCACAGGAGCTGCCAAAGACTGGTTACGCTCACGCCATGCAGAAATTGCGTCGTGGGAAGATCTAGAGTACCAGTTTCGACGAACATTCGTTAGCCAGACCCGAGCAGCGGAACGCTGGAGGAGAATGCAAGACCGCGTCCAGCAGCGAAACGAGAGGGAATTGTGAGCGAGACGCATTCCGCTTACGCAAGTCCCGTGATCCTTGTTCAGAAGAAGAACGGAGAGAAGCGTCTAGTGGTAGACTATCGACGATTGAACGCCCAGACCGTAAAAGAAAAATACCCCCTACCAAGCATTGATGATCAACTAGAAGGACTATCCGGAGCAGTGATGTACACAGTTCTCGACCTCGCTCACGGCTACCTTCAGGTTCCCTTGACTGACGATGCGAAGAAGAAGACAGCTTTCATCACTCCGGACGAGACCGGTCAATTTGAGAGGATGATGTTTGGACTCACGAATGCTCCGTCCGTGTTCCAGCGTCTTATGAACCACGTTTTGGGGCCGCTGAGGGGAACGATAGCTATGTGCTACCTGGATGATGTGCTGATTCCAGCGAAAAACTGGGATGACACCATTACACGGCTGCGCCAAATCCTCGAAGCCTTCAGGAAGGCGAATTTAACCCTTCGCTTAAGCAAATGCGCTTTCGGAAGAGACAGTGTGGATTTTCTGGGTTTTCGACTGAAGAACGGAGCGGTGCAACCCGGCGCACTTAAGGTACGCGCAATCACAGAATTCCCAGTCCCAGAGAACCCTCATGATGTCAGACGATTTTTGGGACTGACGAGCTTTTTCCGACGCTTCGTCCCGAAGTATGCGTTAATCGCTGAACCCCTCACAAGGCTCACCAAGAAGAATGAAAAGTTTGAGTGGAACTCTGAGCAAGAGGAAAGTTTCCAAGTTTTGAAGTCAAAACTAACATGTGGACCTGCACTTCAACTGTACGACCCGAATGCGGAGACGCAGTTGCATACAGACGCCTGTGCAAAGGAAATGGCAGCAATGCTCCTTCAACGGAAAGACGACGAGTGGCACCTTGTCTATTGCGTAAGCAAAAGAACGACCGACGCCGAGAGCAACTATCACTCATCGAAGCTCGAGTTGATGGCTATCGTTTGGGCGGTGGATCGGCTTAGACCGCTGTTACTTGGCATCCATTTTACTATTGTGACTGACTGCCAGGCTCTGGTGTACCTTAATGCACAACGAACACAGAAGCCCCAAATTGCAAGGTGGTATGATTTGATCCAGGAGTTTGATTTTTCAATCAGGCACCGTCCCGGATCACGGATGCTTCATGTGGACTCACTTAGCCGAAGCCCAGTTGAGGAGCCGGTGGATACGATGGACTCTGTCCTTGAGGACCGCTTCGAGATCTGCCTCACCTATGACCTTGCAGACCAAGTGCTAGTGTTACAACGAGGAGATGAAGAGCTACGAGAACTGGTGGCCATACTAGAAAAGCCAGAACATTGTCGCACCGGGCTGGAGAAGGGAAGAGTGAGCGGCTACGTTCTGAAGGATGATAGGCTCATGAGAGAAATCGAACACGACGGCAAGAAAAAGTACAAGTTTGTGCTGCCCAAGTGTATGCGGAAGGCTGTAGTGGTGCAGTCCCATGACTTAATGGGTCACTTCGCACTTGACAGAACAGTTGCCAAGATTCAAGAGAGCTTCTGGTTCCCGCGAATGCGGAACTACGTTCGGAAACACATTTCACAGTGCTTTGAGTGCATTTCCATCAAGATACCTGCTGGCAGACGAGAAGGTCTCCTTAATCCCATACCACCAGGCACGCGACCATTTGAGGTGGTGCACATGGATCACATGGGTCCATTCGTGCAAAGTAAGAAGCGAAACCAATACCTGCTTGTCATTATTGACAACCTAACAAAATTTGTGAGACTCTTCGCAGCGCGCGACACATCGACCAAGCACGTACTGCGGGCTCTGCAGGAGTTTATCCTAGAAAGAGGCCTGCCGAGAACCCTAATCACAGATAGGGGCAGTTGCTTTACTTCTCGAGAATTTGAGGAGTTTTGCGGTGCACGAGCCATACACCACGTGCTTAACTCTACACGACACCCGCAAGCGAACGGTCAGGTGGAGAGGGTGAATAGGACAGTACTTCCTGTCATCACAACCTCGATGACAGACCCCCAGCAGCGCGACTGGGACGAAAAACTGAATTTAGCTGAGTGTAGTTTGAACAACTCCGTGAACAAAACATCGGGAAGGACTCCCTTCGAGATGCTACACGGATATCAACCAGACTTTCACAACACCGCATTAAAACGGCTAGTCGAAGCTGAGGGACCGGCGTGGCAAGACCCCAAGGAAATGCGGGAACGGGTGCGACAGCACCTCATTGAGGAACAGGAAAAACTGAAAACCGCATACGACCGAAGACACTTCCCTGCGCGACTGTACGATGTCGGAGATATAGTCTTTATGAGAAAAGCTACTGAACCAACAGGTAAGCCAACAAAGGCCCAACCGAAGTACAGAGGGCCTTTGGTTGTGACACAG